GGTACCTATATGAAAATGTGACTGTAAACTAAAACAACTAGTAATGCCCAATCATATTAGAATCATCAAATTAAGTTGTATTCTAAGTTTAAAAATATTTGGCTAAAAATAACCCTTTGGAATTAAGCATAATATTTGGTTGCCATGACAACCACACAAATAAATAACCATGCTCCTTCAACTTATAATCATCCAATTACTTTTTATAAGAAAGTTTGAGGCCTATGATTAATGTATACATTTTTCGCTTTACCTACCTATAGGTAGGTACAGCAGAGCAGTTTAGCTGAGAAGATCATTTATATGGAACAAACGACAGAGCAAAGATATTTATTTGGTACAAACTATGGTACGACAGAGCAAAGATATTTATATGGTCTTTACAAGCACCAATATGATTTTAATAGCAAGCACAGCACAACTCGTGAACTCATTAAAAATTCTGAAATTTTTTACGTCAATTAAAATTTTTAATTGCCTATCATTTTGCTGACCACACCAATTTATAACAACTCATAATAAACAAAAAGAAGCTAAAATTTGATTTTATGACAAATATGAAACTCTACTTAATTCATACCGTGCAGTTTTTAGTTTACATCTCAGATATGCTTGTCAAATTTAGAGCCATATCTAGTCACATGGCTTTTTTATAATATTCTAATTCTGACATTCTTTACTTTCTATCCAAAATACTCAAATTATGTAATCTTGTTCATATATATCAAATTGCCTTTTTATTGGGAATCATAAACAACTAAATCTAATTTCTTTTATTCTCTAGTTTTTTTTACCAAAAAAAAAAGTTCTTGTTATTGTATTAGATATTTTAGTAATCTTAAACTATCTATTCTAAATATTTGTTCAAAAACGTGCGGTCATAAATCTATTACAAAACAATGCATAAAATTATTGAATAACTTACCTCTTCATATCAAAATTATGGAATAATTTACCTCTTCATATTAAAATTATGGAATAATTTACCTCTTCATATTAAAATTATGGAATAACTTACCTCTTCATATTAAAATTATGGAATAATTTACCTCTTCATATTAAATCACTAAACTCTATAACACAATTGTAAAGTTTTTTGTTTTGTTTTAGGTCTTTTTGCTTTTTTGTTGAACAAATTGTGGAATAATGGTTTATTAATAATATTGTTATTACTATTATTATATGTGATGTAAAAATTAATTAACTGTTAAACTGTCATTCTACTTGCTATTGTTGCAATGAGTAATATATTATGTATTTTACTCATAGCAACAATTATATTAAATAATACTATGTTATTTTTATAATAATAATATTTAATTTTATTTTTATAATAATAACATTATTATTACTATTATCATTATTATGTTCATCATTATATTTAATTTGTACTATTTTCATTTATTAATTTTTTTTAATTTTTATTTGATATTACAATTACATGCTTGTATTATTATCTAATTGATGTTTACTATAAATTAATATCAGAATTACATGCTTGTTATTACTATCTAATTACAATTCGGCTGTCCCAAGGAGGGGGAGGGTGCGTAGGGTCGGCCCTGCATGCTTGTTATTATTATCTAATTGATGTTTACTTTAAACTAGTATTTGTGATATTTTTTAATAAATGAAATGTAATGACAATATGGATATCTTATCCATAGGTCTATATTACCCTCTATTTTCTTGTTTCAATATACAATTGTTTATATCATTATAATCTAACTTTTATTTAGTTGTGCAAAATTAAATCCAAAAAAAACAAGCAAAATCTAAATAAAAATGGGCAAAGTACATTGTACCTCATCCAAAAATTTTGAGCAATGTAAACAATTTGGGCCTGCTGGGCGGAACAGCTGTAGCTAAAAACAGATCGAAATACATTTTTTTAATATTTATTATTTCGTTATAATTATTGTAGTATTTCAATTATCATTAAAACAAATTTTATTTGAATTTTTTTGTTTGGGTTATTATTCTGTATAAAAGTTGCATAAAAATATTGAAAAATACATAAAAAATTATTTATGACCCTCAGCAATTCCACATACCTCGATATTTTGCTTTTATCGAAGAAATGCAGTTTTATAATACTTACCCTGTGGGCACGGACGTAAAAAAGACGTCTTTTAAACGTTTTGGACGTCTTTTGAACGTTTTGGACGTCTTTTGAACGTTCAAAACACGTCTTTTTTTGGTCCGGTGCCTACTGGGTATGTGAATCAAAAGTTGTTAATAGTTTCTTTGGTAAAAAAGAATATGTTCTTTAGAATATTTTTTTTTTACTTTTTACATTCTATTTTATGAGTTATGGCAAAAATAAGTGCGTCACCGCGTAACAAATCGATGTCACGTTGTAACGCGCGTATTTTGAGCTATATCTGTAAAAGTATTAATAAAAAAATGTAAAGTTTAATTTTTATTAACTATTGGACATCATCACTTGATAATAATATTCCCATTGACAACATTTATCTCAATTTTGAAAAAGCATAAATTTCTTTTTTTCACATAAATTTCTTATTTCTAAACTTTTAGCTTATGGAATAAATGGATCAATACTATATTGGATTAAAAACCCTTTGAAAAACCGTAAACAAAAAGTTGTTGCTAATGGTAATTACTCAAACTGGGTACCTGTTAAAAGTAGAGTTTCCCAAGGCTCCGTCCTTTCAGCGTTACTTTTTATTATATATGTTAACGATATCCCTGAAGTAATCAAATCAAAAGCTGCTCTTTTCGCTGACGATACCAAAAGCTACCGTTCTATTAAAAATACTCAATCTGCACAAGAGTTACAAAATGACATCGACGCTTGCTACAGGGTCTCAAAAATGGGGAATGAAAGCTAACATTGATAAATGTTTTATAATGCACTTCGGACACAACAAAAAATTCCATACTTTTAATATGCATGATCCAGAAAAAAATATAAGAGTAAACATACCGTTCTATTAAAAATACTCAATCTGCACAAGAATTACAAAATGACATCGACGCTTGCTACATGGTCAATTTGCAATTTACATTGCAATATATGGCAACTGTAAAATACGGGCTACTTCGTGCAGACCCTATCACCGTTTATAAATGGTGCAAAAATAACAATAGTAATAGAAGTCTATTTGAAATAAATAGTCAATTTATTACTCGTGGTCATGTATATAAATTAAAAAAACAATCTTCACGATTAAATTTTTGTATAACCTTTTTTTCTCTAAGAATAATAAATAAACGGAACTCTCTTCCTAATGACATTGTATAAGCGTTATCTCTAAAAATGTTTAAGCTGCTTTTAGACAATCATTTAAAAAATAAATGGCTTCTCTACGACTAATCCACATTTTATTTTCTATTAGTTATACAAACTCTGTAGTTGTCAAGTATTACATAACTAGGTTGTCAAGTATTATATAACTAGGTTGTCAAGTATTATATAACTAGGTTGTCAAGTATTATATAACTAGGTTGTCAAGTATTATATAACTAGGTTGTCAAGTATTATATAAGTAGGTTGTCAAGTATTATATAACTAGGTTGACAGGCAGTTTATGCCTGCACAATTTGTTGTAAACCTTAATGTTGAAAAAAATAATAATAATAAAAAAAATAAAGTTTATCTTTTTGTATTTTTAAAATACAAATACCGCGTAGCATGGAACTGTTGTTCTACAAAAATAAATAAATACGGAAACAGTTTATCACGGAGAAAGTGTTACATGTTTGCTGACCAACTTTTTCCGTTAATTTGTACGAAAAAAATGAAATACTGAAACCGTAAATTGTGCTATTTCTTTGCTTTCTCCGTTGAATCTCTCCGTTGAATGGCAAACTTTGTAACAGTGTATGTAATATGCTGTATGATTACTTCACCTTTCATATCGTTGGTTAAGTTAATAAAACTGCTTATCTGACTGTTGGATAAAACTGTGTATAAGGTAAATATGTAAGTATGTAAACTTACTCATGTATTCTTGGGCGCTGTTGGATACAAAATCTGTTCTCTAATGAGGTAAAAAAAGAATCTATTTAAAGAAAGTTTAATCTTTCAAGTAGAGACCTTTGAGAACCGTTGAATGATATTTTAAATGTTTGTGAGTATTTTTGTTGTAATTGTCTGAAATTTTAATCTTTTTGCTATTTCCTTGTTAATCATATAAACATTTTTCCATTGCATTGAACCAACCTAACCATGGAACCATCCTTCATATCTGTTATTTTTCACTTTTTTTGCTTTCCTTACTGCTTTTCAATCCATTTCTGTGCACCGTAACTTTTAGATCTTTTAAAAGTTTCAAATGTGACTTAACTGGTCATCATAAGAGAAATTATAATATAAATATAAATTAATATAAAAAAGTAGAATTAATAAAATAGTTATGAAGAAAAGTTGGATGGAAAAAAAAGTATAATGGAAATCAATTATAAAATTTGCGTGCCAAGTTTTTTACAACATTTTACGGTGTGTTTTTTAATTCTTTTTATCAACAACAACAAAAAAAATTAATAAAAAACTTAAATATCATAAAGTGAACTTATTTATCGATATTTAAGTTATAAAGAAAAAGTTTTCCTGTCATGCAAAAAAAAAACTACGTATTTAGCAAATATGATTACGATCTTTGAAAAAAAAATTGAATTAATACACACACACACGTGCGCGCGCACACACACACACAGATATATATACATATATATATATATATATATATATATATATATATATATATATATATATATATATATATATATATATATATATATATATATATATATATATATATATATATATATATATGTATATGTATATATATATATTCAAAGTTATTTCTTTAATATCTATTTAAGTAGTTATGGAAACAGCTCAAAACTATCAATTGGTAAACATAGTAACAAACTGTTCATGCAAGCCATCAATATTGGTAAAATGAATAGGTAAAATGAATTATTATGTATAGAAATCATAAATTTATAATTTTTAATTAATTTGACTCGGAAAAACATGTGATCATTAATGTTTTGTTTTAAGTTATTTCATTTTTTTTACAAATGTTTTGAATCATGAAAAATGTCAGAACTAAAAAAAAAGATTTATGCTATTAAGGTGTTAGGTAGATATTGTTGTTTTATATAAAATTAAGGTGCTAGGTAGATATTGTTGTTTTACATAAAATTAAGGTGCTAGGTAGATATTGTTGTTTTATATAAAATTAGCAACAATACCTGTAAATAGATATTGTTGTAAAAATTTTAGCACTTATATGTTATAAACATAAAGTTATATATGATACCTTGTATTAAAAAGTTTACTTTGAAATATCATTTTAAACAGCATAATTTTTTTAGGTATCATTCAAGTTATTATCAGCATTTTATCAGTAGCATTAGGAATAAGTGAAGTTGCTACTGCTAACACTAATGAGTGGTCAGGAAACTCTGGAGCAGGAATTTGGGGAGGCATATGGATTGGTATCACTGGTATTTTAGGAATACTTTTAGCTTCATCTAAAAATAATAATTGCTTGAATGGAACTCATTTAAGTTTTTGCATTATCACAATGGTGGTTACTTGGATCAACGGTATCATATACATTGCTTTTATAAGGTAATATTGTTTATTTTAAAGCAAGACCCTAACTGAACTGGAAAAATTACATATCGACTTTAGAAAAAATGTTCTCAATGATTTTAGTTTTTCCATTCAATAGTTTAACTTTGTTGAGTTTGAAAATTGGCATGTTAATCATTTTAAATTATATAATGAAAATAAACCGTTTCATATATATTAAAATAGAATTAGAATATATCACTCAGTCGTTTGCAGAACATTTTCAAAACTAATCTATAGTCGAATGATCAAGTTTTAATGATCAAATAAATAGTAAATATTTTTTACATATTGCCTTTTATTATTTTTTTCATCTTTTCTTAAGCTTATAATGAAATACTAGTACTCAAGACTAAAGAGTTTCTGACGCAACTGGTTTTACTAGTAATAAAAGCGGTCTTATTTATACTTTTGTTTTGTGTTTCTCTTGCAAAAAACTTTATTTTTCTCCACTCATTTATTATTATCATTTTTAAACACCTTCACTTCCAATAACACTGCAAGCAATCACTATTAGAGTTGAAAGTTACTGAAAAAGAAAAGATGAAAAAGCAAAATAACAATTAACAGACAACTTAAAAGATTGCAAATTATATGAACCAGGAAAACAAGATGAATGGATTGAATTTCAAAGAATTTATATTTGAGGTAAAAAACTAGACAAAAAAGAATTTTTGGAGCACTTAGGAACAGTCACAGTAAAAGAACGAAGCTTAATTGAATGAAAAACAACACGATAATGAATTTTAGTAGAAAAGCAACATTTTAAAAAGAGAAGCAACATTATTAAGATGTGACAATTGTTGAAGGTTGGCTGCAAGAGCAGGTTCAACTATGTTTACAATGCGTTTTTGCACCTTGTCTAAAAGAGAGTGAGCATAAATTTGTAGATCCGCTCCAGATATGGCAACAATATTCCATCTAAGCACGGATTTGATATTTATAGAGATAAAGAATAGAATTCGGAGTAAGAAAGTGGTGAGCACAATAAAGAGATGCGACCGTAGCAGATGCTAGTTTTGCAATATATACGATATATGTTTTCCAAGTAAGATCGAAAGTAAGAGTTAATCCTAGAAGACGAAGGATAGATGACTCATCAAGTATATTACCATTCATAAACATAGAAACATCTAGGTTGTTGTAATAACGATTAGCTAAAAAAGTTGAGTTTTATCTGAGTTAGAGTTCACCATAAGAGTTCACCGAGAGCCCCATGCAGTAGCAGAAGTGAGTTCGTTACTAAGCTCAAATGACCCCTGCAAGAAATTAGATAATATTGGCTTCTTATCAAGACAGGAATAAATGGTAGTATCACAGCAAACTATGCCACCTTAGATGCGATAATATCTGAGAGATTGTTAATGAAAATTAAAAAAAGTGTTGGGCAAAAAAGAAAACCTCGAGGAACCCCTGAAATTAAAGGAAATAAATAAGATGGTGCCTATTGAGGACAACTTTGATACTGCAATTGGTAAGGAAGTATTCAATAATCTTAAAGATAGTACCTGATACACCGTAAGAAAAGAGTTTATGTAGAAGACCAGCGTGCCAAACTTTATCAAAGACTTTAGAAATGTTGAGAGCGATAGCTTTAACCTTTCCACATCTAAATTAAACCTATCAGTTATTACCATAAATAAATCAGCAGTAGAACGAGAAGGTTCAAAACCATACTGATCAAAATAAAAAAGTAGTTATTAGATTCAAGATGGCAGATTAAGTGTCTTAAAACCTTGCTTATGATAGAAAGAGGACTAATGGGACGGTAGTTAGACGAATCAGATCGCTGTCCAGAATTTCTAAAAAAAGGGTTAGCAGCAATGCCGTAGCAAGCAAAAACGACACAGTGCTATACTAAAATTGCTCCCCCCCCCCTCCCTCTTCAAAAAAAGAAACGGTCAAGCTAATTTTTATTTTTATTAAACTTCAAAAATAACAATTTTTCAATGTTTTTCAAATGTCATTTTAAGTTTACTCATCTGGTCTTCAGTAATGCGAAATCATTTATAACATCATCATAATTGTGGCCGTGGTGCATTGGTTAGAGCGCTTGCTTTAGAAGCAGGATATCCAGGTTCGAAACGAACTCTGTACATATTTTCGCGTCACGGTAAGGAAGGAGGCGTGAACTTCCAAGTTAAATGCACTTCCGCGGGGCTCTGTGACAAGACCGTTAGGTCTTCTTGGGGCACCTAAATAACAAAATAAATTAAAAAAATAATAATAAATAAAAAAAAGTATTATAATAAACAAAGTGCTAAAACTTTTATACATAAAGCATACTTTTCATACATACTTACGTAACTGATAAATATCAATTAAACCAGATAAACTTAAACAAAATTACTTTACCCAACTCTATTTTTTGTTCAGAAACTGTAATAAAGTAAAATTTTTCTTCAATTTGAGGTGATTGTAAACTTTACATGGTAATAATCCATCAATGACTTTTTAGCGTATACTTTTTTATACTTTGCTGTGTGCCTAAGGTTTTTATTTTATTGAAATAAGTTGTTAACATCTTAAATTTTGTATACTTTTTTTTTATGCTGAACTAATAATATTAATCTTTCTAAATCTGGATTTCCTGGTTATAGACGTGCTTGTATTTTTAAACACTGAACATTCAAGCACATCTAGTTATTTGGTCAGATGAAAAAGATTCATCTGACCAAATAATTTGTCTTCATTAATCTAGTTTTTATGTGTATAATAGTCCAGTTTTTATGTCCATTTTTTGTTGACTTTTGATAAAAAAAAAATTTCCTCACAGACTAATGAGAAACTAAAATTTCTCATTTATGTAAATAAAAAACTTTAGTTTTATTCAGAGATGATGTTAATACAACTATCTACTTTTATCTCATCTGTAAAAAATGTAGAAATTGTTATCGTACTTGGGCAATGCATTTTTTTTCCTCTTTTTGTAGTTGCTTTTTTTCAAAATTAACGAGCTGTTTTCTCCTTAGATTTTCTAAAATCTTCAAAATACCAATAATGATTATTTTTTCAAGTCTAATCTTACATGCCATATATCGATTACTTTTTGCAAATCTATTTTGCTTTTACATTGCATTACATCCTAATAATTCTTTCTTTATTGACATCTTCATATCTTGCTCTATTGGAATTATTTAGAACAATTTGATTTATATGTTATATATTTTGTGTAATATATTATATGTTATATATCATCCTCATTTAGTTACACAAACAATTGTTGGAGTTTGGATACTTTTAGTGGCTATAGATTTGGATGCAATTATAAATTTTCAGCTGCTCGTGGAATATCTGGAACGCTTCTTATGTTAATGATAATAGAATTTGCAATTGCTCTTACAGCATCTATTTTAAGCTGTCAAACGCACAATAGTTGCTGTGGTAAATCAAAAGAAACAGGTAAAAATCTTTGCTTCTGAACTTGACTATTTAGCATTAACTGACAGTTTCTCAACCATAAAAACAATGAAGTTGAACTTCGTATAAAGTAGAATTAAAAATTTTAATATATTCTGTGCCCCGAAAATTGTCTTGTGCCCGAAAAATATCTTGTGCCCCGAAAATTACATTATTATTAAAATTTTAAATTTTTTATTCAGTTCTAAGTCTTAAAATCTAATTTATTCAATAATTTGAATTTTATTTTAAATAATGAAACAAAATATTTTTTTAAAAATTGGCCGGGCCTCACTACAACTCTTGTTCACACAAAACCTTGCTTAGCCTGACTTGCTTAGTCTGACTTGCAACAAGTATGCAGATCTTACTTTATAGGGAATCCATAAAATATGTACACAGTAAAACCACTGATTTATGACACCAACTTCTCCCTTGTACGCACCTGTATGCTTTCTACAAACCCCTATTCCCATCTCTTTCCCCAACGTATAACTATGCAAAATATTAAAAACAAAAAATTTTTTAGTTAATTTGTCATTTGTCTGTTACATAAATATATTGGTTTTTTAAACTCGTGAAATTCAATGTTTTCTTAAAAAAAAGAAATCCAGTTTTAAGAGAGATTCTAAAACCGCGTACTTACTTTCTCTCTTTAGCTCTACCCACCTCCCTTGTACTCATACTTACGTTTTTGAGTAACTGCCCCTTCCCCATACCTGCATATGCACTTTATATAAGATAACTTATTAGAAATAAAATTTTAAATAGTAAAAAGAAGCAATTTTTTCAGATTTATTCCATTCAATAACTATGAAATAAGAGCGCTCCAAAATTGTTTCAACTAAAACCGCAAACATTACACCATGCAAAAATTTTATTTCTAATAAGTTATCTTATATACCATTTAAAATTTCTTTCTTAAAGCCATTTAAAATTTCTTTGTCTACTTTGTAATAGTTATAAAGTCTGAGTTATCTAAAGTTAAAATATTTCTTAAGTTATTTTATTTCTAAAGTTAAATTATTTCTATAGTTAAATTATTTCTAAAGTTAAATTATTTCTAAAGTTAAATTATTTCTAAAGTTAAATTATTTCTAAAGTTAAATTACTTCTAAAGTTTTTTGTAATGGTTGTAAAAAAGTAATTGAAAAACGCTGCAGTGCTGAGTTACCTATAGTACGCTGTAGACCTAATAAATTCGAGTTTTTTATTACTTATATAGGCCTAATAAAATTAATTCGTAGGTCTAATATATTTAAATAACTCTTATTTATTTAATTAATTTATTATACTTACTTATTTGTTTTATAAATTTATTATAACTTAAATAAAGAAACTAACTGTTTTTAAATTTATTTAAAAAATAAATAATTATTAATTGTTTTAGTTGAATAGATTAAAATTATCAACAGCAATTAATATCTTTACTTATTTAATTAAGTTTTTTTTTAAAACTTAAACTTAAAATATTATTATTTGTATTACAAGTTGAGAACACTACCTCAAAATACCATAAAAATTAAAAAATAACTCAATTGCTAATAATTTTATTATTTATTAATAGGACTCGTTATTGCACAACAACAAGTAATTCCGAATAATGCTACAATTCCTACAATGCACCCTAATCAAGTTCAAAACTTTATCGCACAACCAGTTAATCAACCTGTATACTATCAACCAAATCATGCTCAACACACAGGAGCTTCTACAAACGTTACAATAACATTGCAACCTAACCAAAATCCAATTTACAGACAGTCAGTAAGTCAATCAATATATTATCATCCAGCTCAAGCCAATCTTACACTTGTTCGTCCAGCAAATGAACAAATACGCGAGCTTCCTCCTGCATACAGTTATTAGAGTTCAACTTTTCGTTTTGTTTATATTTTCTATGAAATTTGCATACTTTATTATGTTCGATTAACTTTGATAAGCTCTATAAAAAGTATTCTTTTTTAATAACTTATATTGAAAATATATCGTGCGGCTGTGGCGCAGTGGTTAGAGCGCTTGCTTTATAAGCAAGAGATCCAGGCTCGAAACGAGCTCTGGACATATTTTCGCGTCACAGTAAGGAAGGAGGCGTGAACTACCTGGTTAAATGCACTTCCGCGGTGCTCTGTGGCAAGACCTTTAGGTCTTCTTGGGTCACCAAAATAATAATAAAAAAAAAAAAAAAAATCCTAGTATAAAGTAGTTTTGGTTTAATGAAAAACCTTATTTTACTAAGATTAGAGGCAAACTTTGTAGACGCAAAAGTTTAAAATGATTTGTTTATAAAATAGTTCATTTTAAAGTCATTATTAGTCAGTATTAAACAGTCAGTGTTAAAAGTCTTAGTATTAAAGTATTAAACAGGTAAGATTTGGGTAAGTAAGTACAGAGTAAAACAGATGAGGTTTGCATATGCAAATACAGCGTAAAACAGGTAAGATTTGCGTAGGTAAGTACAGTGTAAAACAGGTGAAATTTGCGTAAGTAAAACAAATAAGAATTGCGTGAAAAAGGTAAAAGATTAAGGGATAAATATAAGCAAGAAATAAAAGGCTTATTCAACGTGCAATACTATTTCTTTTTAAAATCGGTTTTTGCTCAATCGGTTGTTAAACTTTTAATAAAAAGTATCAACGAGTTATCAACCGGGAGGCTAAATAAGTGCAAACTGGCAAGAGCGCAAATTTGCATAAGTGCAAAGCATAAACTAGCATATGTATGAACTATGCCGAAAGTTTGCAAAAACTGGTATAAGTTTGCAAAAGAGTTTAAAAACATTGACATAGAATTCGTTTTTATGCTATTTCGCCCTTTTTCCAATTCGCATATATGCCAATTTTATGCACTTGACATTGTATAAGAAAATTTTTTTTTGATAATTTATTGTATTGCTTTTGTATGAATGACCCAATTGCTTTTATATGAATATTGCATTATGAAAATTGCTACAGTAAATACGAGTGTTTAATACTCAAAGTTGAAAAATTCGCTTATTTACTTAATTTCGTTGGTTAATATTTGGCAATAAGATGATTGTCTCTATATATGTGAAGGTTAACATTAGTTCCTCACCTACTAAATAATCGACGATAAGATAGTAAATGAAAAAATCTTTTTAAGTTTGATTTAATAATTATAATTGTATAATTTCAAAAATTGTTTCAAAGGTTTTTAATGAAAGTTTTTAAATTCCTCATAATTATTTTTGAATTCCTCGTAATTATTACGTTTTTGAATTCCTTAACATAACTTAAAATAAAAATCTGTAATTTGAAAGCAAGCTTTTTGTTTTATTTTTCTTTGTTACACCATAACGGTGCGTCATTTTGTTTTTTTATTTTATATCAAGTAGCTGAACCCTGAACTTATAATTAAATGCCAAAACAGCGCAAGAAACTTTGTTCAGAAAAATTTAGGACACCTCTTCAAAGCTTAAATCTATTAAACAAGACACCATCTTATGGTCATCTCACAATCACCTCATAGAACTGTAAAAATAAATTAAGGAAAATAAAAACCTTAAAGAAAATTTGTGTAGTGTCTGTAGAAAAGACGTTGCTTTCAAAAGATTGTTGTTTAGGTGATCTTAAACAAGACACCATCACCACATTAAGACATCATCGTCGCATGCGTAACAGTTGTGATGTGGTTTTCACATAAAGAATAAATTAAAGAAAACAAAAACCTTTAAATTTTGGTTCCAAGTAATCTCTGGCTACACATTTACAAAAATTCTTTATTTATTTAAACTTTAGCAAAGAAAAGAGCAAAATCTATATCTAAACTGTCCTCAAAAATATAATTAAATTTTTTTTTTTACTTTTTCTACTTATTGAATAAAATAATTTTTCTAAAATAAACCTCTTTAAAAATTGTTAATATTCCATATAAGAAAGAGATAGGCACATAAGACGACTAACTGAAAACTAAGACGACTAACTTTGACTCAAGTTTGCTTCTTGCATTCCACCCAATATCCAGGCCCAGATTAAGGCGTAAGCAGTGTAGGCTTCAGTCTATACAACCACGGATTTAGGGGCACGGGCACTAGATACTATTCTTTATTTTTTTTTTAAACTAGAAAAATTGTACAATCTGTAAAATAACTATTGACAATAAACACAATACTACCCTAATGTTATTTTTATTTAAATAATATCGGAAATTTGAAATAGTAATCAATGCGTTTTGTCGTGCGGTCTTCTAAACCTCGTTTTATTTTTAGATTGTTATTTTTCCGTAGAACCGGTCGCACACCGATAACGTATGTGGAGCCGCAGACGGTAGACAATGCCAGTACGTTTACTTATTTATATTTGTCGTAGCTCGCCGCCGATGGTCATAAATTGGGTAAAATAGTATAAAATACTAAATAGTGTTAGTATTTCGTATACACGCGTCACGTGCATCGAAAATTCGTCCGTTTGATCGTACGTACGTTATGTTAACACTATTGTAACTTGTAAATTTATTATAAAGGTTTTACTTTAGTGCGAGTAGTGCGTTTTATATATAGCTTAGTGTTCGATATTTATGTAAAAATGGATCAGAAACGACATATTAGTGGAGCACAAGCGAGAAAGCGTGCAATTGATAAAAAAGAAAAAGAAGTGATTTTACTTAGTAAAATACCTAGGTTAAATAATTTTATATATTAAAAAAGTATAAAATAATGGTTTGTTACTTTTTGTAATATGATTATTTTATATTTTTATATATCTAAAATATATTTTGTTTAATTTTAATTTTATATTTTTACTTGTTTTCACATAGGTATTATATACATGTACATATTGATGTGGCTATTAAACCTAAAATAAAGTCTTATTATTTATTCAAGTATCGAGTAGAGAAATGTGTACAATATATTTTTTTAATTGGATGCACCTAATTTTTTACAGCCTATGGGCACTGTAGATCTTAATCCGGGCCTGCCCATATCGATTATACCGTTTGATTTTATACAATTTTTAATTTAAATCCTGTGTTTCTGAAGGATTTGGATATAGCTATTCTGAGTTCTTAGGAGTATCGCAAGTTGTGTTGCAAGTGGCGATTTGGATATAGCTATTCTGAGTTCTTAGGAGTATCGCAAGTTGTGTCGCAAGTGGCGTTGCTGTCTTTAGAACTTTTAATAAAACAATTTTATAAAATTTTAAGCATTGTAAGCAGCCTAATTATGTTTTTAGTGGTGAATAGGCAGAAGCAAAAAATAAAGAGCACCCACTTGAAAACGACGTCACTAAAATCTAAATAAACGATATAAGTAAACTCCAAATTTCGGTTTATTCAACTCAAATTCAAATGACCTTGAATAATAGTTCACGAAAAGAAAAAGTAGGAAAAATTTATTTTGAAAACTTTTTTTATCAATCTTCCGATTTACTTCGGATTTTTTTAAACATTAGTTCTGGTTTTCTTTGAAGTAGCTTTCGTTTCCGCTGTTCTCTTTTAGCTAGGTTAAATTTCTGTTTACGAAAAGCAAACTTTTGTGGGTTTGAAACAGCCTAAAATAAAAAACATAATCCTGATAAAATGTTTAAAAAAAATTTTTTTTAGAACTATTTTATTGGCGTGATATATATATATATATATATATATATATATATATATATATATATATATATATATACAGGGTGGCCCATAAGTTTTGTCCCCCCCCCCTTGCATGACTTCAGTTAGTCTAGTAATCAGACAAAATATGTTTATACGCAATAAGCACTATATTTCAATCATATTACAAGTCAGGTCATACAAAATGACTGTTACAGTTTATTAATAACTACTGTGTCCTCCATTGGCAGCACGAATTTCCTGGACACGTTTTGGTAGTGATTCAACCAACAAACAGAGGTAGTCACCAGTCACAGAAGACCACTTGTCTTTCATCCGTTCCACAAGTTCAACTATTTTTTGGCTTAGGAGCCTCAAAGACACTTTGTTGAAGCAAGTTCCATAAATGTTTAATTACATTAATATCTGGACTGTTCCCAGGCCACAATTCTTTTGGAATCATCGACGGAAAGTTTTTTGCACAAAATTGCTGAACGATTTTTGCTGAGTGTGCAGGTGCACCATCTTGCTGAAAAAGAATCATACCTTGATTAAAAAACATTTTTCTCTTATCAGCAGTATCACCTTGATGGTTTCTTGTAGTAGCCTCAACATATTTTGGTAAAATGTGATTCATGTTATAATCAGCATTAACTGTCTGCTTCTCTGGCACAACAACCAATTCAGTCAATCCATACCGTGACATACCACCATACACCATAATTTTCAATCCAAACTTAGGAAGAACAGCTGGAGTGATCTTTGATTTGTCATCGGTCCGTATTCGCATATTCTGACGATTTGGAACTGGAAATAACTCAACAGGGCTTTCGTCTGTCCACAGAACATGGCCTCGTTTTTGTCTACCAACATGGTCATCTTGAAGGTAACCATTTTGTTCCAACCAATCACAAAATTTTAAGCGATCATTTCGATTTTTTTCAGTCAATAGTGGTTTTATTGGTTTATGGTAAGCCACTTTACCCCATGGTTGATGTTGAACAAAACGTTGCACTGTTGAATGAGAAATTTGTTTTTTACGTGTAATGTATCGTTCAGAAAAGTTTAACTTTTTCGCACAACTTCTTGTTGATGAACCCCACTTGTCCTTCATTTCACTGGTTATTAACTTCTTTGATGCTGGTGACAACACAGTTGGACGACCACAGCGTTTCTTTTCATTAAAGTTTGTATTAACAGGTTTTCTCCAGTATCGCTGAACGCTTTTCTCACTGCAGCCAATTGCAGCAGCTACTTCAGCCTTAGACTTTCCTAATTTACCTAACTCAGCAATGCGTTTCTTCAGTGATGCTGTTAAATTTGATTTTCCAATAACTTTACCCATCTAAAAATACAGATGCAGATACAGAAAATATAGAAAATAGCACATTGTCCTCTTAACCTAAAGTGGACAAAACTTTTGGGCCTACTGGAGACAACAAAGAACTCAAATTGCCAAAAAAATAACCTCAAAGTAAGCTGGTTTAAAACTGAAATGTGTTAGACAGATGTAATTTAACAAAACTTAACAGAAAATCTTGCAATGAATACATTCACTACTTTTCTAGGTCTATTTTTATATAGCACAAATTTTTTTATAATTCGAATTTATAACTTTTAAAAACCTCTGGTCAAGTGTAAAATCGAAATTTCTCAAACTTTTTCCACCTCGTAAAATTAAACAACCTCTAGTAAACAACTTGCAAAGACATATCAATAAGATCGTATGTTGTCTTTTCTTTTTCAGTAAAAACGATGAGTAGTCATAACGGGCGGACAAAACTTACGGGCCACCCTGTATATATATATATATATATATATATATATATATATATATATATATATATATATATATATATAAATATATGTATATATATATATATATATATATATATATATATATATATATGTATATATATATATATATATATGTATATATATATATATATATATATATATATATATATATATATATATATATATATATATATATATATATATATATATATATATATATATATATATATATATATATATATATATGTATATATATATATATATATATATATATATGTATATATATATATATATATATATATATATATATATATATATATATATATATATATATATATATATATATATATATATATATATATATATATATATATATATATATATATATATATATATATTACTGTTACCCGCAGTATCAGGAATTAGCTAAATGCTAATATTTATAATATTATATTGCGACTTAAAGTTTCATGTGTTACCACAATCATATTGTGATTGTGGTAACACATGAAACTTTAAGTCGCAATATAATATTAAAAATATACACTCTTTAAAATATACATTATTATACATGATAATATAAAGAAATCATCTTTAATATTTACATATATGCACCCACGTATATATATATATATATATATATATATATATATATATATATATATATATATATATATATATATATATATATATATATATATATATATATATATATATATATACACATATACATATATAATATGGTCAGAACCAGTAAATGTACAGCATTTCATTATCAGGGACTTTTTACACAAAATAATTTAAAAATCAGAAAATATAAAATATTAGTTAATAAAATGAGTTTTTCAAATGAAATAATTTGTTAAAACCTCTTCAATAATCTTTCGTTTTCTTGATTCACGATTTTCTGACATTTTTTTCTGCAATTTTGAATATACTGAAGCAAACAGATCCTTTTGAATGGTACTTCGGAAAAGTTCCATTACTTCATTTGCCAGTGTATGAAGTTCTTGTCCTGAAATCAACAAAATTACAGTAATGAAATAAAAACATTTTCGAAATACTTACCGCCTTATTAATTTACTGCAGAAGCTGCACCTATGAACCTAAATACATCTTCATAATATATTTGGAATAGGATATGAAGCTAAACAAATCTATTGGTTAACCTAATAATTGAATTTTGCTTTGCGTAACTAAATAAAGGGTGAGGTTTATTATTAAAAGTTCAAAACTGGTAAATAAACAAAAAAAAAAAGATGTTGTAGCTACCAGGGAATCAGAGACAGTGTTTTACCTAAAGCCCGGGAGAGAAGGGAAGAAAGGGGCAAGTGGAACTGAAATATTTTTAATTTTTAGAAATTGTTAGAAGCGTTTCCTATTTCTAAAATAATATTTTTTTTTTATAAAAACAGCAAAAAGGGTTGTGCCCTCCCCCAGCACACTGTTGTAAGTGTAAAAATGAGTTTTTTTTTTTTTTTTCATGTTGATTTTAGGTGCCCCAAGAAGTCCTTACAGTCTTATCACAGAGCACCGCGGAAGAGCATTTAATAGGAAGTTCACGCCTCCTTCCCAACCGATGTCGCAAAACTTGCCCAGAGGCAGGGTTTGAACCACGGATCTTACGTTTCTGAGGCAAGTGTGCTACCACTGCGCCACGGCTGCTTAAAGAGTTAAAGAAGGTAAAATGTGTTATAGAACTAAATATAAAATGCTTTTTATAAATCCATGAAGCTGTCATGCAAAAAGTTAATGTTGGTTCAAAAGCTACATTTCGATCAATAAAATCATTGAGAAAAATTGCTTTAGTATTGATATCTAGTGACTTTCTTAGTCTAACAGATAGATCTTTTATTTGTACATTTTCATCACATTTCAAGAATTTTGTTTACACTGAAACTTCTTTTTTCTTTGTTCTCAGTTCAAAGCACAGTTTGAGGAATAGACTCAGAGAAGGCATACCAAGAAGATCGCTCAATAGTTGAAATGACAATACTTAACTGAATATCTAGTAGCTGGTGTTGAAGCAACTTAAGCTGGCAAAGAACATGTTTTGGTCCTTCCATATAACTCTGATGTTAAACCAGACAGGAAAATACACTCCTACAATATACTCTACAAGTTTCAGATGATTTTGGCTGAACTGCCTTGAGACCACGATGACTTAAATTCTATTATCACAGTAATTACTAAACTTATTAGCAACTTCATTCACAACTTTATCCTTAGCTTTTCTAACTGTGATCAATAATTAATCTATTGTCATTTTTAGATATAAGTCCTCCATCTACCCATGCTGTAGTAGCCATTGCTGCAGTTGCTCTTAAATCAACACCATATCTTATACTGGCCGATGCAATATTAAAGATACCTTCATAGTTTCTAGATTTTTTTTAACATTTTGTACCTGAGTTTTAAATAGAAATCTCACTTTCATAAAAATTGAAATCTTCAAAAAGTTCGTGTTTGCTATCTTGAGCATTAGTTTTTGTTTTGAGCCATGTGTCTTTTTCCTCTCATTAGTTTTTCTTCTACTCTTTTTTGTTTTCAACTTTATAGTTTTTTTTTGATAATTTTACTAATGCTAAAAATTTCATTTTTAGCATTAGAAAATTCAAATTCATTACTAACTCAATTATGAAACTAAACTTTTGTTTTGTAACTTTACTTGCTCTATTGTGAGAATTCAGACAAGCTTTGTTCCAGGCATCTTTGAGTCTTGTTATTAAACTAGTTACAGAAATAAAACACTGGTTTTTAACCATTTTTCTGAAATTTCAATGTAAATATCCTAGATTAATTCAAAATTACTATAGTTTCTTCTGTCAAATTCACTGGTTTCTCTTAGAAAAATACCATATCTTAACACATCTCTCAGTGTTGGCAATTCAGTTGCTAGTACCTCTTTTCCAGATCCCAAATATTCACCTAGACAAGAACTATTTTTCCTCCTTGTTCCAGCAACCATTTTATATTTAATTATACTCTTTATCTAGTAATTTTAAAAATTTAATTAGAAATGTAATAAATATCAATCAATCCTTCAAGTCTCTCTTTGTTTACTAAAAACTATATTTCTCAAATCATATCTGACTTTAAAAACTTATAAAAATTAAACAAGAATACCTTCTTCCTCTGTAGTTCCTTTTGATAAATTCATAAAAATTAATAACTTTTAAAATTAATAATAAAAAATTCACTGACAATAAAAATTAATAACTTATATACTAGATATTTAAAAAAGGTATTTAAAAAAAAAAAATGTTTCCATTTCGCCATTTGTGACCTAATAAATATATGAGTTGAAGTTATTACATACAAAACTCGGAAAAAGCCCCCCTCCCTTTTTTTTTTTTTATATCTCTGTAAATCAAAATTTCTGAAATAGTTTTAACTACTAAATGTATTATGCATATCTTGTATTCATTTTTGTAGTTTGCTGTAAAATTCGTTAGATAAGTTTATTGTAAAGCTGATTTAAGTCAAAAATGTTCAAATTGACCCTGAAAATATAAAAACCTTTTTTAATAATGCTAATGTAAATCTGATTTTTTAAGTTTTGACTTGAGTACGACACACTCTTACATATATGGTAATCTCAACTTTGTTTCTTAACAAGTGGCAAGGCCCATTTGCATATTTACATGACAGAACTCTTTCCTTGAACAGAAAAGAACAACAATCCTTTTTAAATAATTTCATTGAGCTTTTTTATTAATATTCTATTCTATCTTATTTCAGTTCTCTACCTTTCTATGAATAGAAAGAGGTTGAGAACTGAAGACAGTTGCATGTTATTTTTTATTACTTATTTTGTAATTTACTAACCGTATTGTTTTTTTGTAATTTACTAACCATATTGTTAAGCTAACAAGTTACATTTTTTTTAATACATCTATGCCAATTATGATTCTTTGCACAATTTGCAACAACAACTCATACAATATTAATCTTAGATTTAGTTTCCGAGGTTTCTCAAATTCCCTTAAAACTTAATTTTACCATTAAAGATGTTTCAGGCAAAAATAACTTTTTTTTTATTTAGGTTTAATTTTTGGTATTAACTTGCATCTTTATATTGCAGCCATTTAACTTAACATTTATTTTAGAAATTGTGTCATTAATTGAATAAACACTTGCATCATCATTTTCTACTTTATCTATTTTTCTTTCGAATATTTAAATTTCATACATTCTTAAAATGGTTCACCTACTGATATTTTTTATAAATTTTCCTAACACTGGGCATTTTTGAAGTCAACAGTGCTTGCATTTATTTGCTTTTTTTTCATTTTTATCGATATAGTTAATTAAAGGGGGTTCTACAATCATGCTGTTTTGCATACTAAAAGTAGATATTTGTTCAAGCTTCCTGATGAAATCAACACAAAATACTAGTTTAGGAGATTCTCTCTTTTTTTTTTTCTTTCAAAAGTTACATTTCTCTAATCAGAAACTAGCATCAAATCCTGTTTGACTCATCTTCTACACTAAAGCGTGTACACAAAAATGTGAAAGTTGAAAAATAACTAAAAAAAAGTACTCTTCAATTTTTATTTCTAACCAAGTAATAACTTTAATGCAATAATATAAGAAGATCAAATATATATAAAAAAAATCAAATTATTCCTGTGGGAATCTAATAAAATTTCGAACTTTTGCTTTGGTGGTACCCATAAGCTTGTGCACAGAATAAGAATTGAAGCCATTTGATGCTTTTTTAAATGATATTTTAATATCTTTAATATTTCTGCAAAGTTTTTTTGTTTTTTTCATTTTTCTTTTAATGATGGCCCAGTACTTTTCAATAACTCTTAATTCTGGGCAGTTTGGAGGATTTGTCTGTTTTAGGCACAAATTTCACATTATTATTTTTATACCATTCCAAAGCTAGCTTACAATAATGAATTGAAGCTAAATCTGGCCAGAACACAGGTCTCTTTTCATGTGATTTAATGAGAGGTAAAAAGTGTTTTTGTAAACACTCTTTAACATATATTTGACCCGAAAGTGTGGACTGAGAAATATAAGGTGCTAATTTTTTGCCACAACTGCAAATAGCTTGCCAAATCAAGACTTTTTTTAGCAAACTTGTCATGTTTTATGTATTTAAATTTCTTATCTGCTTTTCCTCTACATTTGGCAATATAATAGACGACACCAGGATTTTGCTGATGATCGTACTTGATATAAGTTTCATTGTCTTCAATAATACAGAAATTTTTAGAAATAAAATTGTCATACAACTTTCTGCAGCGGGTTTTTGCACTTTTTTGTTGAGTTTCAGATCGGTTGGGCGCTTTTTGTGCATTGAAAAAATGAAAACCATGTTTATTTCGAACTTTTACAACAAAACTATGAGAAAGTCCATAAATGTTTGCGCGCTCCCTTAGTGAAAGGCTTGGGTTAGTCTTAAAACTGTTAACCAGTTTTCTAAATAGTTTTTTATCTTTAAAACCCTTCTTTCTTCCACCACCAGATTTACGTTTGATCAATTTTGTTTAAGAAAAACGTTGGATTACACGACTAACAGTGTATAGATGTAATTGCAACGCTTTTGCTATCGAATTGTAGCTACTATTGGGATTCTCCAAATATTTGTGCATAATTTTTTCTCTTACGTCTTCTTCTTTTGTCATTTTTAAAACTAATTTTAAGTTAAATCAAAAAACTAATAGATTTTTTTGAAACACGTTGTAATCAAAAACCACAACCACAACGCGTTGTAAACAAAAACCACAACCACAACACGTTGTAAACAAAATACAAAACAGTTAAAAAGATTTTAATATAACCACTGAAAAAAAATGACATACTTATTCTTTCACATTTATTTCGTGTACACGATTTATGACCATCTTTTCTTAATTTTTAAAGTTACAAAAATTTGTAAAAAATCTTTTTGCATATAAAACAATCTTTAAATTGGTTGTTTTAAAACTGAAAATTTTGTTTTTTTCTTCTTCTTGAAAATTGTTTCTTCTAGTAATGATGCACATACCGTTTTTAATGCTAATAAGTGTTCTTTTTAATTACTCTGGGTACACTATAAGTATATTCTTTTTTATCAATATCTGCCTTTGATAGAAATCAGTTATATCATGACTGTATATTTCATCTGATGGTGATACTTCTCTGAATGTGCAGTAGCTAAAAAGCATCCAATGTAGGCTTTTGCATTGTCTGAATCGTCTTGTAGATCTAATTGTAGTGCCATTGTTTTATTGATAAAGAAAAAATACAGATTTTCTTTGATAAACTAATACACTCTCTTATGTTAGCACCTTTATAGATATACTAAAAAAGCAACATTAATAAAGAATGTGCTTGTCACTTAGTCCACCTAGTGTTATTTTTATGGCTTCACAAAATACTTGAAAATAACTTTATCTATACCATACAAAGTAAACATGATAATAAATTTATAAGAAACTAAAAAACTTTGTCTCAAGAGAAAATAAATAAAAAGAATTTAGTAATTAAAAATATAAACAAAAACAGTTGAACCAACCTTGATCTAAAGAAGAAGAAATCTCTCTATGAACAGGTCTTAATATGTCAGTTAAATATAAATCAATTCCACCATCCAAACACAAAGCAGCTATCCAGCGCAATACTGAAATCCTCTATTAAATATACAAACATGAGTCATTCTATATAAGATAAAATTTTATTCTTGTTAATGACTTTGACTTAAATGTCAACTAAATTTAAACTAATTAAATGCCAACTAAATAATTTTTCAAAGAAAACTAGTTGACTTTAAAAAATCAAATAGTCAATTTTATCAAATATGCATTTCCTACCAACCGACTAAAAGTCAATGAAGTCAGGTAATAATCTAAATATCCTGTTAATTTTTCATTAGGTTTTTTCAATCCTTAATTTTTTGTTTGTTTATTTAATAGCAGTATGTACTGTTATAACAGTTTTTTTTGTTTACTCTCCTAAAGTTATGTTTAACTATCATATATAATTTATAGCAGTATTTATACCAAATCAAACTTTTATTTTCTTCAATTTTTGTTAACTCTGTGCTTGTGATTAGGGTCATAAAAACTAAAAACTAAGAGGTTATAGCATGCAATTTGAAATTTGTTGATGGATGAATATAAACTTAGATAAAAATACTAAAGAAATTATTTTATCAACTTATTGCTCCCATGTTAAGGGCTGGGTGGGCCCGAAAATTGGGTTTTTTTTTTGTCCCCAAGCTCCAATCACCACAACTTTTTGCAAAACATTCTCATTTGACATAAGTATGAACATACAAAAGTTTGGAGTTTGTAAAATGTGTGTAAGTGTCAAAACTCAAACATCTAAAAATCCAGTGTACACCACTGTATATATATATATATATATAAATATATAAATATAAATATATATATACATATATATATATATATATATATATATATATATATATATATATATATATATATATATATATATATATATATATATATATATACTCTTGCATGGTAGTCAGAAAGAGTTTCCCATAAACTGTAGTTTTAAAGAGCGCGTTAATAAACCAGACCAGAAAAAGTTTAAAAACTTAAATTTTTTTTTTTAAATTGATAGACTGCCTGCCCAAACCAAACCCTCAGTCGATGTAGCAGCACTCCTTTGCGAGTCAGGCTATTTGTCAGTCGTTGTAGCAGCACTCCTTTGCGAGTCAGGCTATTTGTCAGTCGATGTAGCAGCACTCCCTTGCGAGTCAGGCTATTGGTCAGTCGATGTAGCAGCACTTCGTTGCGAGTCAGGCTATAAGATAGTCCATGTATAAACACTCCCTTGTAGCAGCAGGCTATAAGATAGTCGATGTAGCAACATTTACGCATGTTTTAAAAATGTTTTTTAATAAAACAAAAACAAAAACACCACTAATTAAAGGGATCCCTAAGTGCTATAAAGATATGATCTCATATGAAAGAGCATTAAAAAAAAAAATGTTTGATGTATATTATTTTTTCTAAAACGTAATAATGAACACACACTAACAAATTTAATTTTCAAAAAAACGCTTTTCTTCGATTAAAAAAAAATGCGTCTTGTCCAAAGTTTATTGACTCTACTGCCTCAAAAAACTAACGTTTGTACGTCAAAATAAACAAAGTAGACAAAATGTCATTATTGCAAACTTATTAGTTGGTAATTAAATTTAAAAGTAAGGTCGTTTTTTTTTCAACTAACACAATTACTTACAAGAATAAGTTTTGTAGCATTTTGTGAAAATAAATTTGTATATTAAAATTTTTTTTATAATTTTAATTTATATATTTGTGTTATAAGGGCAATTCCACGGCCAAAAATGAATAGAAGTCAAATTTTAAACTCTTTTTAGTCAGTTTTAAACAAATGAATATTGATTTAGACACATAAAAGTTTATTTAAAATATTTCCTTAATACAAAAATAAATTTATTTCAGTCATTTTTATGGTTTCAAAAGTGACGGTTACTCTCATTTTTGCTTGATAAAAAAAATAATTATTGTAAAATGTTTTACTTAAATTAACATTTATGTTAATTTTGCTATATTTTTTTTGGTTCAAATTAATAAGGTTGAATAGACATTTTATTAGAAATTAAACTAAGACAGGGCTCGAATTAACGCAAAAAAAAATCTAATCGCGATAAAAAATTTTTTTTTTGCTCTCTCTCCCTCCCCCCCCCTCTCTCTCTCTTATAGGTCGCGCCGATGTGCGTGAATGGGGGGGGGGGGGGAGAATTATCGTCAATAAATCAAAAAACATCGTCAAAAACTTAATAAAAAATTATATACCACGTTTTTTATAATTTATTGTTTCTTGAATAAAGGACTAATAAAAGTTTAAATATAATTAAGTTTTTCATTTAAATGGTTGATGTTTTTTTCAATTTTTCTATTTCAAGTTTTCCAATAAAAGAAGAAACAAAAAAATTTGGTTAAATAAATCGAAATATAATTCACGTTTAAAATAAGGCTAAAGTAAAAAAAATTGCTGGTTTTTATTAGCATTTTTATACTGTTTGAAAAAAAAAAAATAATAAAAAAGAATTAACTAATAATATATTAATTAATAATTATTAGAATTAATAATAATAACAATTAATTCTTTTTTATTAGTTTTTTTTTTCAAACAGTATAAAAATGCAAATAAAAGTCAGTATTTTTTTGCTCTAACGTTTTTAAGCCTTATTTTAAACGTTTTGATAAACAAAGTTTTGATAAACAAAGATAAAGACCAACTTTTCAACTTTTCGCTTTAACGACCTTGTAAAAATTTTCCACGCAGAGATTTAAAGTAATTTAAATTCAAAAATGTTTAACGTTGAAAGAAAATCTCCGCGCGAAAGAGCAAATCTATCTATTCAGAATAATAAATTTTGTGTGACGTTCTTTATGATAAAAACATTACTTTTAAGGATTGCTAAAAAAAATGCTAAGCTATAAAAAAAGTAATTAAACAACCAAAAAAAAAATCGCGAAAAGATTTTTTTTAAGAAAAAACTAATCACAAAAGTGTGAAAAGCAATCGCGATCGCGATACGCTTAATACGAGCCCTGTAAGACTTTTTTATAAGTTCTAAACTATTTAAAACTATTACTTAATAACTTTTTTTTAACGACGTCTTTCAACCGAATGATATTATACTGTTTTTGCAAAACTAATTAAAAAAACTTGATTAAAACTTAACTATTTAATCACGACTTTTTTTTACTTGAAAATTGAAGTAGATATTTTAAAGTTGTTGTGACGTACTAACGTGATTTTTAACGACTAACAATCGAGTTTCAATGGTGAAAAAATAAAATCAAAATGGAGTTGTTTTTCAGTGATTTCGGCAATTGTTTTTTGTTAGCATGCATTTATTATTACAATTTAGTGAAAAAGAAAAAAAACTTACATATTTTTTTTTTATGCTTTTTCATTTGAGATCATATGTTAGGAGCACTTAGGGATCCCTTTAAAAAAAACTTTCTAGTCGTTATTATTGCGGTTTTTTAAAAATTTTTTAAAAAACAATAAAATTTAATGTACTTCCACATTAATTTAATTGCTTTGACATTTCGACGACAGTCAAATACAGCTTAAGAGACGAGGTAATTAAAATTGTAGTTGAAAGAGACTTATTTTACATTGAAAGACTCTTTTGACTACACTATAAGGATATATATATATATATATATATATATATATATATATATATATATATATATATATATATATATATATATATATATATATATATATATATATATATATATATATATATATATATATATATATATATATATATATAATTGTGTTGATAAATACCGGTATAGAGTGCTTAATACAGAGTTGAGCACTCTGTACCGGTATCACAATATTCTTACCTTAATCGCACTTTTAGGATCTCGTGAGCTTTCATACGATGCTAATTGACACATTCTTTTTACAAGTGATTTAAAAGTTATAAACTTTTTATCTTCTAAACTTTCCAACTTTATTTCACTTTGTTTATTTTCATTAAACCATGGGTCAATAAGTTTTACTACTTTTGTTAAATAAATTAGGTTCTTTGTTGCCTGAAAAATAAAAGCTTATTATTAAAAATATTTGTCAAATAAAATTGATGCCAAAAAAAATAATTAATAAAAATGAGCACAATAAAAATTAAAAAAATTTTATATAAAGATTTCAAATTATTAATTTACAAACATTTTTACATCTATTCAATCTACTTTTTTTTGTATACTTTTTATTGTTATTCATCTCCTTAAGGCGAAAAAAGGCCACAATTAAGGAGGCTATTTTTTTTACTGTGGTTAAAACTCATTCTCAAATCTATAACTCCAAAACATGAACCTTGACAAATAAAGCTGCTGCATGGAGAAACAAGCTATTACAGGTTCAATTTACTCTATTTATAACCTAACCTTTCTAAAAATCTGCTGTTTGTATTAAAAATAACATAATTTAATTAATTTTTTCTTATTCTTGGTGCAAGTAGTTATCAGTTTTACCTTGGTTTTTATTATCTCCTTCCTTGGGTTTATTAGAGCCTAGGGTGTGCAAAAAAAGCCCAAAAAATTTATAATTGCCTATTAATAAAATAAATATATTTTATACCCTCTGAATATTTCTTGGCACAGCAAGAAAATAAAGCAAAAATATATTAAATATCTATTCTTGAAGTAGTCAAATACCAATCGTGCTGCATTATTTAAAAAGCATAATAAAAAATATGATTTTCAATTTACATGTAAAACTAAGAAGCTTTCTATAATAAAACTAATAAGGTTTCTATAGTAAAACTAAGAAAGCTTTCTATAGTAAAACTAAGAAAGCTTTCTATAGTAAAACTAAGAAGCTTTCTATAGTAAAACTAAGAAGCTTTCTATAGTAAAACTAAGAAAGCTTTCTATAGTAAAACTAAGAAGCTTTCTATAGTAAAACTAAGAAGCTTTCTATAGTAAAACTAATAAAAGTTTCTATAGTAAAACTTTCTATAGAACCTAATATTTTCAGTCATCTATCTGAGTGATTCTGCTGCCAACTTTTATAATGCAAAAGTGTGAACTTGTTAACAGCAAATACTGAATAATTTTACAAAACCGTGTATGAAGTGGTGTGAAAAATATCAGTATTATCTATAAACTTTACTAAGATTTATTGATTTTTCAGTTTAAAATGAGTGTTTAGGTTTTTAAAATAAATACAAGTAAAAAATAAAAAAATGTTATGTTATGTGATTAGTTACTTTTGGAAAGTACAAAGGATATTGAGAATTTTACTAGTTTATTAAAGGATTTTTAATTTAAGGATAAGTTTGCATAACTTTAAAATATTTTAGAAATATACAAAGAATATGATTTGATGATTTTGAAATATTTTATTCTTACTAATAAATAAAGTTTTAATGATTGTGAGAGGGTACAAGCAGAATTAAGACATATATTTTTTTTTATTTGAACATGATATAGCATTATGTTATTCATAAAAATAAAAATACAATTTTATGAGTAATGTCACTCCCTTAGGTCAAAAGTTAGAAAGATCAAGACAAAGCCCTATTAAAGTCTTATGTTTTTCCTTTGATAAAGTTTATACCATCCGAATAAACTTTACATAGCTGAAAATGAAACTAAAATGTTCAGATTCCAGTTAAAGAACTGCTATAATACTTTTATTGGTTTAGTGCAAGAAAAACAAACAAAAATCAACTTTAAAGCAAATTAGAGCAAAAATATATCAATGTTTCTAACAATTGTATAAATTATATGATCAGGTTTTATTATGACCAAGCAAGTAGACACTGCTGAATAATTAAAAAGCCAAGTACCTCTATTAAGCCAAGGACTGCCAACATTTTTATGGCTTAATACAAACTCCTGTTTTGAGCAAGATTAAAACAAGATTAATCAAGTTAAAACACATTACTTTATGACAAACATTGATTTTGCTTTCTTGGATGCAACCTATATATTAAAAGTCAAGTTACTTATAAGTTATTACATTTTTGATCCAGAACATATCTAATACATCCTGATCAACAATAGCTTTGATAAAAAAACTTCCATTCTTTAATGGCCCAAAAGTTCATAAGATATGAACCCAATTCAAAATATAAAAATAGTCAACATTTAGAGAGCTTAAAAGCTCCTGGATCACAAATGTAGCTTGCTACACTTGTGATCCAGAACATATGTCATATGGTCTAGTTAGTAATAGCCTTGATAAGAAATTCTCAATCTTTCTTGGCCTAGAAAATTAGATATGAATCCAGTCTAAAATATAAAAAATAGTCAACATTCAGAGAGCTTTACAGCATAAACAAACTTGCAAAGTCTCATTCAATTTAAAAATGGTAGTTTGAAAATAGTAATAAAAGTGAAACTAAAATTTAAAAATGGTAAAATTTTATAAAAATTGTAAAATTTAAAAAAAAACAAAAAAACTTAAAGGTGCATCAATAAAATGTTTGATTTTAACAATATGAAGAATTTAAAAATTATTTTGCATAAACCAATGTGTTATGTTTTTTAAGTTGTAGATACTAATATTTTTCACACCACTGCAACCCTCGGAATTAGAAAGGTTGCCATTATTTTTTACACTATTGTATGTTCAAAAATGCAAAGATTAATACATTATAAGAAATGACACCAAACATTGTTGAAAAAACACACAATAAATACATAAATAGTGTAAGAGTATATACTTTTTTACTGTATTCACCATCCTAACACCGAAGGGCCTTCAACAGTCAACAAGGGTACTATTATTTGATTGATTTATTTGTTTCGATGAGGTTACTATGATATATTGATTTTTTAATTGTTACAAACTTCTCTCAACTCTTTATAAAAAAACAAACAAAAGACTTGACAAACAAGACTGCTGCGAGGAGAATTGATATATATAATATAAGAGAAGGCAATAGACACAGTCAGAGAGAATACAATAATAAAGTGGAAAAGTATGTAATAAATACAGTGAAAGAGAATATAATAAACTTAGTAAAAGAGAAGGTAACAAACACAGTAAAAATAAAATGAAATATATTAAAATAATAACTTAAATACTAAAAAGGAAATGTGATAAAAAATTGACCTGTTCAGCAACACTTTGAGATAAATTTGTATCTTTAAGTTGCGTACAAAATGCAGAACAGAGCATTTTAATCTAAAAACAAATTTAATTCTTTTTGTCATTTAGAGTTTTGTTTTTAAAAAATTTTAAAAATTAAAAAATATTGAAAAAAAGTATATATTTATTTAAAACCTTTTTATTTGATTCAACACTTAAGTATTCTTCATTTTTAAGCAAAATTAATTGTTCTGGAGAATACAAAGAAAAATAAATTGTAAACATTTGAGATGCAGCCAATCGTATCCATGCATGCTTATGAAGAAGAAGATCATAAACTGAATCTAATTTTCAAAAAATAATAGTAGAAATTACTGTAGTAACCTTCTCTCATGTCTATTAGAGTAACCGTATCCCCAATTTTAAAAAAACAATTTTTAGAAATAAATTTGAAAAAAATGTTAATTAAATTTTTAAAATTTTATATTAATTTAATTATGTTAATTTTATTCAAAATTCAATTTAATCTTTAAAAAATTAATTTTATCTTTATAAAAAAAAACATTAAAAAGTTTATTTACCCCAATATTTATAAATATTTACCCCATATATGCACAAGACTTGCAGAATATTTTGTATTTCCCAAAAGTAAATTTGGAACACTAAAGAGTTTTCCTAGACAAGTTAAAGTGTTATAGATAAGTTGATCACCAATCAAATCTCCACTCAATTCATTGACATTATCCTCATCATCGTTGTCACTAGAGTCTTCATTATTTTCGACTGCTGATTTCAGAACATCATTGATTTTAGGAAGAATAGATTCGATGCGACGTTCAAAAGTGTCTTTTTCAACTTCTACAAACATTCCAATGCATTGGATAAAAACTTGCTGCAGCATCTTCTAAAGATAAAAATGATAATGAAAAATGTTAGTTTAAAATTCATATTTGGTTGAGAGGCCATGAAAGTATACTCAAAAAACTTCAAGTAAAAAATCAAAAAACTTGCTTTTTCTTGTCCTCCCCATTTCAATGCTATTTTGAAAAGTTTATCACGATTTTTAGATTCAATTTTTTTTAGAAGTAGTTTTATAGCAGCATATGCCATCTTCCTACAAGTTACAGACTCATCATTAGCAAGCATCATTACAAGTGGTATGAAAAAAAACCCATTGTATTCCAGTAACATAGGTTTTGGAAAGTTATTAAAGATGGATGCAAGCATTTCAAGTACAGATTTTCTTCCCATTTCTTCTGCATATCTAACAATCAATATAATAACTCAATCAATAATTCAATCAATAAATTCAATCAATTTAGTAAGTTTATATTTTGATAATTATTTCATAAGAGTTTTTTTAACAATTGTTATTTAATGAATGTAGCTGTAAAATAACTTTGATTTTAAATTTTACACTAATCTTTAAATTAATCATTAGACACTTATTAAATTCAAAAGAAATAAAATACGCAAAAGTATATGTAATTTGTAACCATTAGACTTATATTAATTTGAAACAAAGAGAGATAAATATCTATAATTTTTTAACCATTAGACTCACATTAAATTTCAAACAAAGAATAAATATATATACTTTTCTTTTAGTTTCTATTTTTTACTATTTATATTTTATTCTAATTACTTTTTAACTTTTAAATTCATAAATTTTTGTACCAGTAAAATACCCTTAAAAATTTTTAAAATGGAATGCATTGATTTGGATTTTTTTTTTTTTTGTGATTTGAAAATGTTATTATAGGGCTCCCTTGAAAATCAATTATTTTTTGACATTTCTAAATATTACCCTTAAAAACTTTAATTTATTTTATACCAAAAATCAGTGCAGTTAGATATAAAAGGAGGCTTACTTATTTAGTCCAACAGAAAAAAGCATTATAAATGGTTAAGTCCCTTAAAAACTACATAGTTTTACCCTTAAATACTATATTGCATTAGTTATAATATTCTTCCATGAGCTAACTTAACATGGCCAGGAACGGAGAGAATGTTTATGCAAATAAATATTTTTTTTAAAAAAAAGGTGTAAGGACATTTGCAAGTGCAACAACAGCCCTTAAAAATGGAAGGTAAGCTTTACACTTAATTTTTATTACAAAAAATTCTCAAGAGACATCAGTAGACGGTAGATGCTAAATACTGTACATTATTATTTAAGTTATTTAGACTTTAGAAATCATTCTTGAAAAGGTAGTACGCTGCTAAAGGTAGTAGGTAGTAGGCTGAACATGATGATATTGTCATTAGAGGCAAGGGAGAGTTGGAATGAATAGAGCACTAAATTGTACAAGGGGAGATAGTTGCAGGTCATATAAGTACACATTTTTTTTTTTTAACTTAACCTTGATATAAAAAGATAAATTGTCAATTTCATTTTTAACTATTCAACGACTAGGTATTTATTCTTGAATAAGTTTTGCACATTTATGTAGTTGGTTATGTGACATCTATTCTTAATTTTACAATTTTTTTAATACCAGATGCCTTCGGTAACAAGTTGATTGGTTGTATTATAAGGAAAAACTATGGAAAAATAAGAAATGGGGTATGGTTCGGTAATATTGTAACAAAGAGTTTTGAAATTAAGAAACAAAGAGTTCAGTAATCTTGTAACAAAGAATTGTGAAGAAACACCACAGTTTGTAAAATATGTTATAGATGGTACTGCCACTGGGTTGATTTTTGTTGAAAAGATGAAATCATATAAAAAAATGATTTGTGATAAATTTTTATCATTATCAGGTGAGTCAATGTTAACTGTGGCTTTGAGAGTTGTGTTTTTAAAAACTGAAATTTAATATTTTAATTTTTAGGAGAGGTTTCATTGTGTCAGACAACTAATGCTGGCAAAAGCATAACAAGCCAGATAGTACCAAAAAAGAAATGGTCAATAACATTAAAAACTTAATCATCTCAACAACAAGGAATGGTTTGCAAGACAACTGTTTGTTATTGGCTGCATATAGGAAACTTAATAAACATCTCACTGAGCAAGGTATGGAGTACCCAGCCATGCTTTTATCGTATGGTCATCTGTCATGGTTTGACTTTTAATTTTTTGCCTAAAAAGCAAATCAATTTATTTGTCTCCACCTGATACTACTGGAGTCACACAGATACTTGACCAAGCACCAAATCAAAAGCTTCAAGTCAGTATTTACTAATATAGCTTGTTGCATTGATAACATGATTTATATCAGATTTTTAGATAAAATTTCAGTTTTGAACTTTTAAAAACAAAAAATTTGGTTCACATTTACTCTTTTGAGATTTTTAGATTATGAAAGAATTAAATTTTTAATTAATAAGTCATCTAGAATGTCTAAAGATACTGGTCTAATCATTATTTAAAAAATTTCAATGACATTATTGGAACCCATAGTTGAAAATGTGCATGTGTAGTATTGAAGGGCTATGTATTCTTCAGGGTAATCTACTGATAACTACTATTTTTATTTATTCACTATTTATATTTTATTTTATTATATTATATTTTATTATACCACTACTCAAGTAATCAATATTTTTTATTGACAATAAAATTACAGTCATTATATAATTATTAATTTATTTATTTTTTATTTTCATTTACTAAAGTTAATACTAGTTTTAGTATTTTACTTTTTTTATTATGTTTGTAATGATTCCTACTATTTAAATGTATCAAAATATAATTGTTGTCTAGTAAGATCGTATTTCTACTATTATTGTACTTAACAAATAAAAGTGGTATTTTCCAGTAACACTATATTTCTAGTAATATTCTACATTCTATATTCTGTACATTATATAGTAGAAATACCAATAAGCACACAATAAAGGTACTAACCATTGTACTTACGTTAGATTTGAAACATAAAAGTTTAAAAAATTTGCCATTTTCTTTCCAAGTGGATAATCAAGTAAATATTGCATCATAAGTTGTCGGCATAGTAACCGAATTGTTTCATCGTGATCTCTTACACTTAACTCTTTAATTTTTGACATTACATCATGAACTTCATTTCCAGTTATTTTACGAGAAAGAATGGCTTTTAAAAGTATCAAAGCAGTAGATTGGCGAGAGGAATTATAAATATCTTCTTCCACAAAAGAAAGTAAAATCTGTAATTGACTATTTGTTACTTTGAATACTGTAGTATCTCTTATTAAAACTGTCATAGCCTTGAATGAAACTGAAACTAATTCAAAATTATCACCTTTTGTGTCACAATTACGAGCATACTTTTTCAAAATTACAAACAAGCATTTTGCAAATTCTGGTATCAAAGCATCCATGGAAGGAAGTTTATACTTGATAGCATACAACAAGCATCGTGTAGCTAAAGTTACAATGCGTATGTATTTTGATGAAATACTATTCAATAATATTTTTACAAATGGGTCTAACAATTTGATATGTTGCTCTGAAGATGGAAGAACTTTCTGTTGCTTTAAAGCAGTCTGTAAAAGTTGAAGTCCAAATTCCACTAGAATATGCTCATTTGTATGTTTATTAATGACAGGAACCTTGCCACTACGACAAGGTGTCATTGGAACTAAAAATATATCATCTTGTTTTATATTTTCTTTTTTTGCTTCAGTTTTTTCAGATCTGTCATTAGAAAATAAAAGAACAAGTGTATTTGATACAAGACCATAAATAAATATTAAAAGATCATCAACACAGATTCCTTTATTTTGATGAAGACCAACTGCTATCAAACGCAATGTCTCTTCAATACTATGAATTTCTTTATGGTTAGTAGACTTTGTAAGAATCTAAATGAAATAACTAAATTTATAGTTGAAATGGTGAGGTAATGCTAAATGAAAGTGCCAATTCATGTACACTCTTCACTATCTCATTTTATTGTAATTTAAAATAGCAGATCAATAGTGTATTATTTTTTAAATCTGTGTATATGTGTATGTATAAAATTTGTGTTTATATCCATATATATATATATATATATATATATATATATATATATATATATATATATATATATATATATATATATATATATATATATATATATATATATATATATATATATACACATATACATATATACAAATTTTTCTTAAAAGTTTTCCTTAAATAAAAAGTAAAATACAAGACCTCTTGTAATGGAGAAATAATTTCAATAATACAGCTTGATGATATAAATTTTGCAAGTATCTCAATACATTCAATGCTTTTTTTTGATTTAGCTTCATGAAGCTTTGTTGTAATACCAGCTATTTCCTTTTCTTCTGATACATTGCCAAAATATTGCTCTATTAAAATCTAAAAAACCAAAGTTTAATAGTTTTAATTTCATTTAATGCAAAAAAGATGAAACAAAAAGGATGAAATAAATAAACAAAAAAATTGTGTACCAATATTAAAAAAACATTTGAAATAATAAGACTTTTTACCTCAGTCACTAGTTTAACACAACTATCCAAGTCACCAGGTTGAAGAACATCTTTCATTCCAACAAGCAATGAATGAACTGTGTAACCAAGTATATGAAGCTGATAGCCCCGCAATAAGACACTTCTCATCTCATTGAAAACCATAAATAAATAAGAAGGACCAAGAGAAATACAAACATTTAGCAAGGTGTCTCTAGCTATATCACGAACATCACGTGCATGACTACGAAGAGACTGTGAAACACGTAACAAAAGACTAAAAGAATAACTCAAAGAATTAAGAAAAAATTTATCAACCAAAATAAAAATAAAAAGTAATAATGAAGTTACCCTGGTAAATGAACTTTAAGGATTTCAACAGGCAATTTTTGCAGAAGTTTGACAACAGCTATTGTTACAGGTATCTTCATGATATCTTCTTCATCTTCTTTTTGATTTTTACTCAATTTATGAAAATCAGAAATTTTTGACTAAGAAAATATTTTTAAAAATCAACACAAGCTATTATGGTAATAGTTTATGTGATAATACAAATAATAAATATATTCAACAACAAATATAACGCATAGAACTATTTCAAGAAAAAGAAATAATAAATAAAATAATTTATGGAAACCTTTTTTTTCAAAAAGTTTTGAAGTCGTGGAAGAAACTTTATTGATACAACATTAAGAATTGTCTCAGCTTGTTTATTTGTTTCAGTATTCATATCAAAATGAAAATTGTTCAATATAGCTATCATAACTCTGAATAAACATAGAAAGAAAATAAATTAAATTTTTTTTTTTTATCAAAATTGATTCAAAATATTAATCCATTACCTCATTACAGTCTTTACCTTGTTACAGTCTTTTGATTATGTTTGTCTGTTCTTAATAGTTTAAGATAATTGCTTAAAACCAAAGAATACTTTGCCCATGGCAAACATTTCATTATACTTCCTATGGCTGAAATGGATTCACTTAGCAAATTATGATCTTTTGTAACAGCAAGACTCTCAAATATATTATGACTAATCAATGGAAGAATAAATGAAAACATTGTTGAAGCAGAAAGTTTTCCCTCATTGCAAAGTTTTGATACCTGATGTACAGCTCTAATGCGACGATGGACCTAAATTACATCATTTTGCATAAATTTGGATGAAATTTATGCATAAATTTAAAAAAAATTGTTCAATATATTTAAATTCCTATCTAAAAATCTAATTATATTCAATTGACAAATAAAATTTCACTTAAAAACTTAAAAAATAAATAAACAATATAAGTATATAATTACATTTTAAGTATAGTCAAGCATGTCATAAAGTGTAACATTTTTTTTAATTGTTTACAGCAACTTAATGTTCTTCTATTGTTGTTGCTGTGCTACAAACTTACATGTTTATTTTTCTGAATACTATTTTCAAAACTGCAGTAACAAAAGATATTTTTTCTTTAATTTTTTTTACCTACAATAATCCATTCAGCTGGTTTCTGAAGCTGAAAATATGATCAAAAAATAAATATGATCAAAAAATAAATTCTCTCTAAATCTGAGCTGGTTGTCAATTAAACTTAACAAACAATTCAAATGGATATTAATTTTTTTTTTTTTAATTTTTAACTTAACAAATAATACAAATGGATATTACTAATAATATAAAAAATTCTGAAACCTATTGATTGTTCAGGTCTTCAAATTCAAACTGAGCTCCAACTGTTAACTAATTTTACACGTATATTCTCTTAAACAAACAGTAAGGTAAAAAGTAAAAATTCCATTTATAACTTAAAAACTTATTTCAGCTAATTTCTTTATTGCCTAAGAAAATTACTAAACATATATTTTTAGTATTAAATTATTTTAGGTGATATATGATTTTTTTATTGTAACATTGTTTGAAACCATTGTGTTTAAACCATTAAATAGTTTTACTATGGTATAAACAAAAAGAAAATACTCATAAGTTTGAAAATTTACCTGAATATGTTTCATGTTCTCAAAAAAACATGTCTCCGGATCTTCAGACCATAACAATTTCATCTCGCTAAAGCATGATTTGTCATATGTCTTTACTAATAATGCAAGAATACCTAAGTACTCATATCTAACTGCCTAAACAAAAATTATTCCAGTAAATTTGCATAAAAAGAGGTAAAAACTTTAGAAAATTTTGGAAGTAATGATTCTTTATCTAAAAATACAAAATAAACCGAAAAAAGGAAGAAAAAAATTTTGAAGTAAAAAAATTAAAATTTCTTTTTTAAATTTTTTTAAATTCAAAAAAAAACTTTTTTAATTTTCAAAAATATATGCATATAGCACATTTTCACTTTAATCTCTTGATTGTGAGCCTGAAAATCTACCATAATTGTACTATTGCCACAACCATTTATGAAATATAATTGCATTTAAGAATACTAAATGCTATATACTATAGAACAAGGTATAACAAATATAAAATTTTTTGCATGTTGGTAAAATAAAACCATATTCAGAAATAAATCACCCAAAACTAATAAACCCAAATATAAAAATCTTCAAAAAATTGAAATAAATTAATATAATTTCAAAACAAACAAAAAAAAATTCAAATCTGAAACTTAATTTTTTTAGATTAGTATAAAAAAGTGTTTACCTCTTTCTTAGATTTTAATCCTTGTTTAATGGCTGGAAGTAAAACCTTAAGAATGATTGAATTATACATCTCGATTTTGTGACAAGCTGATTGATGAATAATTTTTTGGATACAACTATTGGAAGCATCTCTAATAGACATATCATCTGTGGTTGATATAAAGAACAAACAATTGTAAAGGATGGGTAAAATCTCTTTAACACTCCAGTGTGGTATTTCTTCACCTATTTTTCTAAAAGCATCAAGCCTTCTATCAAAGTCAGGTTCTTCTAGACGCTTTTTATCCCAGGAATTCAAATCTTGGATTATCTGACTAAGATTCACCATCTCATTACTTTTAAGTGCTAAATCATGATAAAAATCACAAAGCATCTGGCGAGCTTTTCGACATGTTACAGAATGAAACAAAAATGGAAACTTGGATAAATACTGCTGAACGCAAGAAACATTAACTACCATGTTTTTTAAAGATGTTATTATAAATACTTGTGTGTCTTCTGAAGATACACATTGTAAAATCGGGAATAATACTTCCACAATGCTGTTACAAATTGACTCATCATTGACCAACGTGCTTATTTTTGATAAAACAGCTAATTGAATCTCAGGCAAAAATTTGCTAAATTTTTGCTTTGTTTTAATATTCAAATCTTTTGTTTTTTCTATAAGTTTTTCACCCACATGTTGAATAATTATTGGAACAAAAGGTTGAATAATCTGTATGCCAATTGGTTTATTACAATCGAAGCTAAACAGAACTAATTTAAATTAAATCAGGTTAAATTTAGACTAGATTAATAAATATTAGACTTTATTATTAAACAGTTTTTATTTCTAAAAGTTAAAGAATTTAAGAATTTTTTTTTTACAGAAATACACAAACACATATTAACACATATACATGTGCACACACACACACACACACACACACACACACACATAAACACACTTAGGGGGTAGAGTGGTTAAGAAAACTAAATTTTTTATGATGCTTTTCGAGTAGAGTGGAAAGGTTGCCACTATACATGAGTAACTTCTGTTCAAAAATCACCCTAAGATAATGTCTTCTGCTTTCTTGAAGTATGTTGTGTTTATGCAACAACAATATTATATATATATATATATATATATATATATATATATATATATATATATATATATATATATATATATATATATATATATATATATATATATATATGTTCTTCTAGTTATCTAACAAAAAAATGTCATTGATAGTAATATATTGAAATGAGGATAGACAAAAGTATGTGTACAGACAGGTAGTATAAAGAAAATTTATTACAGCAAAAAATACTTTATCTAAAAAGTTATAAAAACTGTTTTTAAAAATAAAAAAATGTTTAAACTTATAATTTTCAATTAATAAAAGCAACTATACAACTTTAATTACTTTTTCACATACTCCTGTGCCAATGGTTTTTCATCATTTTTATCATTATTAATGAAATCTTCTATTGATAACAAATTTAATGCAATTTTCATAATATTTTTCTCAATTATATAGCTTATAGACTTCTGTTTTAGAATATTGAAAGTGTGTGTAAGCAGAGATTGATGTTCCTTTGATGCAATGTGCAATAAAGGATGATATCTTCTGTGTTCACTTAAAACCATAATTAAACGAAATAAAGGCGTTACATTTTGGGTACATTCGATAGAAAGTAGTGAAATCTAAAATATAGTAACATAATTATATAAATATATTTAAGATAATAATAAATTGGATTTTTTTGCCTATGCTATGCATAAAACTATGTATAAGTGTGGGTGCATACATGGGTATATAAATCAGCCCTCAGAATTAGGAAAAATAAGGTTGGCAAAAATTTGCTGACCAAAAACTGTTTTATGCCGGCATCAGGTTGACAAAAACTTATAAACAATAAATATAACTCCGATACAAGTTCTTTTAAAATAATAAATAAAATTTATTTTCAAGTTTGATGATTACAAAGAAAAAAACAAAAAAAAAACACACACACACAATATTAAAAGATTTTTTATCTCAAAATCTTGCAAAATTATATTTCTTTTAAATGCAATCTACAAATTTCATTCAATCTTTTTTCTTAATGATCATCAACCTCTTAAGAGGTCGATGATTGCATTTTCAAAAAATTGTGTATAAAACATGAAAAGATTGCCCTTTTGCATGAGAAAAAAAATCTTGTGTAGAAAACTCTAAGCAATTAAGCGACAAATTGTTTCATACTATATTTGTAATTAAACTTTAGTCAAAGAATCTTTCCTGCTTTTTTATAAGATATTTTTTTACAAATGTCAAAATAATAACAAGCTATCCAACCTAAACCTACTATTGTATATATGCAGATTGGATATACATACATATATATATATATATATATATATATATATATATATATATATATATATATATATATATATATATATATATATATATATATATATATATATATATATATATATATATATATATATATACATTCATACATACATACATACATACATACATACATACATACATACATACATACATACATACATACATACATATTAAAATGGAAGCGCTATAGAAAAGAATTTTTTTCTGAAAAAAACTGTTTGGAATAGTAATCAAAAAAGTCTGCAAATTTAAATCTATATACAGTTCACACCTAAATATATACATACATACAGGAATGGCCGCTATGCCTTGCCAAACTTATAATACTTTAATGTGATAACTTGCTTATGGCATTTCAGATATTTCAAATTAAAAGAATTCATTTTTTAATCTTGTTCAACATTTTTATATCAGTTTTAAACAAAGGAAAAGTTTACATTTATTTTACAAAAAAAAAATTTAAGTTATTACTTTTTTTAAAATTTATTAAACGATTGTTTTAAGTAAGTTATTACTTTTTTTAAACTTTTTAAAAACGTTATAAAAGAACAAATATAATAACTCCAACCAATTTTTATTAATTCCAATTTTTTTTTTGTTTTTGTGTTAAGATTTTTTTCCATTTTTAAATAAAGCTTTTTTTGTAAATTATCTCCATTGTTATTTTTCCTGTAAATAACTACATTGTTCATTTTTTTTTGTAAATGATTTGTAAAAATTAAGGTTTGTTTGCGCATTTTTTGAAAGGTTCTCAAAACATCTAAAAAGCAGTAGTCAAGTGAAAATAAATATTTATATTTATTTTAACTTACTATGCTAGCTGTTTCTAAGTAATTGGAACAAAAAATAACCTTTTGGCACTAAGTTGCTTGTGTAGGCCAAATAAATCAGCCAAATGTTGATTTTGCAATGTGAAGAGATTGTAGAATTGAGAGACATTCAAACAAAAAGCTAGGTGGTTAATCCTATTTCGTGCAAGGATTATTCCATAGTACTATAAACACATCCAAAGTTGCTTTCTAGACAGCGCATTGCAAATCTTAAATTGCTTTTGATGAGGATTTGATCCAAATTTTGGTCTGCTGAATCTTGTTGATCTTGGTTTTATCTTGGTTTCAACATTTTATTTTTGGCTTTGACACTAAAACCATGAACTGCTTGATCAAATATATTCCATATGGCCTAAGCTGTTGGGTGGTTCATCAAAGAATCTTAAGAATGCATGCACCATCCATGGTCTTTAACGCAATCTGTTTTTCTAGATAAAACTAAGTTGCAACGCAGAAATTTTAATTGACAATCCATTTTACGCCATATATACATTTAATTCATAGAAACTTCTTAAGGTTTTCATAACTTTGTAGAAACTTTTAGAAAAATGACTCATTACTATTTAGCTAAACCAATAGATTTAGCTAAACCAATAGTTGATTGAATAACTTTAAATGATTGAATCATAGTCATCACCTAGGTAAGTTGTAAAACTCCTAGTAAAACTTTATAAGTTTTTAAAACTAAAAATGAATAAATAAGATTTATAATAAAGACTCACTCCAAAAACAAGTATACACATATTTAGCTCTTGGAACTAGGGTCAGTATTCGACCTGACAGTGCCTGAAGTTTGCAGTTTTTTCCTGACCTTAGAAATTTAAAATTTTATTTTATTTATTATATCAAAAAAATTGAAAACGCATAAAAAAGCTTTATTTTAAATTCTAAGTAAAATGATTAAAATAAAAAAGGCAAAATGAAGCGTTTATTTAAATTCTGAACTAATTAATTTAAAAAACACTACAGAAAAACAAACATTCCTATTTAAGATTCAAATGAGAACCTTTTATTTAAATTATACACAAAACAATTAAAATAAAAATGGAAAAACAATCATTTTATTAATTCTAAATAAAATAATTAAAATAAAATCATCAAAACTTTTGTTTGTTTTAAGCAAACATTGACTTTTGAGAGAAAAGTCTGCAAATTTGGCGTTTGCTTTTCTGTAAATTCTATGCTAAACATTCACAGGTTTGCCAATTTATCAAGTCTTGATTCAAAATTTGGTGTCCACCTGATGCCAATCTAAAGCCTCAAAAAGACTTTAGGTTAGCAATTTATTGCCAACCTTATTTTTCTTAATTTCGAGGACTTCCTCATACTGAGGATTATTTGGATATGCATCCAGATGAGAATAAAAGCTTTATTATAAACAATTTCAAATGAAAAACCAAACATTTCAATCAGTCAAAAACTTAACTTTTCATAATCTCACAGCAAGTTTATTTTCTCCTAACAAGAAATTCGTTTATGTATTTAAATAAAATAAATTCAAATACACAAGAATAAACTTAATAATTCAAGGAATGAACTAAATTTGTTAATTAAACAGATAAATCCTTTTAGTAATCTGCATTTATTTAAAGTGGTACTGACTGACCAATAAGATTTTTGAGCGTTACTGACTGACCAATAAGATTTTTTAGTGGTACTGACTGACCAATAAGATTTTTAAAAGGTACTGACTGACCAGTATAATTTTTGAGTGGTACATTAATAATGATTTTATTAGAACACTTTTCATTAAAATGATTTTTTTTAATTTATGAGAAATAAATTTTAATTAAATAAACATTTAAAAAATAAACTTTTAATCAATAACTATGCTTAAATAATGTCAAATATGTCTCAACAGTAACAGAGTATGTTGTTTACAATGTTATATTAAAAATACAATTTTATGTTGAGACATACAGTTAAACTGTATGTATTCAAATAAAGAATTTCTTGGTGATACTCAAGGTCCAAAAAGTACACACATTAATTTTAAAATAGCCCTGCCCAACCTGTAAGCAAATCAGCAAAAGTAATGTTTGTTTGACTAGGTTATTTTGTATCAAAATCGCTTTAAAACATAATAAATTCTTTTTTTATAAAAACTTTTACCTAGGAATATAAAAATTAGTGATTGTGATTGCTTCAAATAATATACTTTCAGGATAAATGGTTTTTGCCCATAACAATTTGCGGTTGCTTAACTCGCCTCTTGTATCAAAATCCAAAATTCAATTAATATGTTTAAATAAAATCAAACTCTTTTTTTTTAAATTCTAGATCCAGTATTAATTTTGAATTTTACAACTCAAAGTTTATCTGTCTAAATGTTAGTCTGTTATGTTAGAAATTGATCTGTCTAAATGTTTTTTATGTTTGAAATTAATTAAATAATTTACTTGTGGCCAAATCACACCAGAAAATATTTTTTCAAGATATTCATCATATTGAAAATCAACAAGTCTTTTAAAAATCTCCAACAACTTAGTTGTACCTCCGTGTCTCAATGATTTAATTCTTCCCAAATAACTTGGATCAATCTAAAATAGTATATTTTACATATGTATATTATATTATATTATATTATATATATATTATATTATATTATATATATATATATATATATATATATATATATATATATATATATATATATATATATATATATATATATAACTTACATTTTATATATATATATACATATATTTTATGTTAACTTACCGTTATGTTAATTTTATGTTAAGACTGAGAAGGCCACTACAGTCGAGGGGTCTACTTTTGTTGTGGTTACAATCCTCTCTCAACTCTATAACTCCGAAACAAGAACCTTGACGAACAAGGCTCCTGCGCAGAGAAACAAGTTGAAAGTGGTACTAACAGGGATGAGGTGGGGTTTGAACGTAGGACTTATATATGCAATATATGGTTTGGTTTGGTTTATTTAGTAATCAAATTTTACAAAAATGTTGTAAAGTTTTGGCGGCACCAGGCCTTGCTATGCTGATGAGTTTGGTACGTACAGTATTGTGTTTATGAGTGTTTTAATGCTTCAACCGTGACTTGAAAATATTGACAGATTTTGAATGAATGGTGTTGCTAGAAAGTGCATTCTATGGTGCACAAAGGATTTATAAAAAAGTTGTCTCTCTATACAGTTTTTGACTTGTTGATGTTAAAGCATAAACTTGTGGTTCTGTCTTAGGTCATATAATGTTGACTTGGAGAGAGGACTCTGTCTCTCTCTCTTTCTCTCTCTCTCTCTCTCTCTCTCTCTATATATATATATATATATATATATATATATATACACATACATACATACATACATACATACATACATACATACATACATACATACATACATACATATACAGTATTGGACAAAACATTTGCAACCAACATCGAACAATGCTAAAAAGTGTTCCTAATTTTACATGTCTTAAAAACAAAACGAACTATACTACCGCATTGGAACTGAGAATAAAAATTATTGGTGAATACGTAAGTGGAATGTCACAAAAAAGTATTTGTGATAAATATTGCGTGAAAAAATGGACCGTATCAAGACTATGTTTCAAATATTGTTCCACGGGGAAGTTGGCAGCAGATAACAAAGGTGGAAGACCGCGTTCCACCACTTTTAGAGAGGATTCTATGATTGTCAGATCCGTCAAGAAGGATCCCTGGATATCATCAGTTGAGATACAAAAGCAATTAAAACAAATTACTTATCGAATAAAAAACTCTTGATTATTGAATTTTGAACTAATTTTCCTGACCACAAACTACATTAAATTAGATGGCTAAAATTAAAATTGAAAACTTCTAATTTTAATACAAGTGAAAAGCATTTTTCTTTACATGATTTTTAAATGTCATATTGTACATTTTTAAAGAAGGAAAAAACAAATAAAAAACAAATTATCATGCAAAATATTTTTTGAAACTCAGTTATTTTGTAATTGTAAGTAAAGATGATAAACAATTTTTTTTATTCAACCTATTATTGTTAGATTGGTACCTCCTTCAATAAAAAATAAAAATAAAAAAGCTCATTAAAAAAATGGTCTGTAATGTAGTTAATGGTCTACTTCTTTGACAAAAATGCTCTTCAATTTTGAACTGGTGTTATGTATACTCTTTGTATATTAACACATATTCTAAATGTTAAATAATCTTTTTTTTGAATGCAACATGTGAGTGCAACATGTGGGTGCAACATGTGGGTGTAATTTAAATAGTTTTGAGTGGAGAGTGAACTTTTAGGACAAATAATAATTTTAATATAATATTGCCACATAATAATGCCACATCTTAATAAAACCTGCCAAAACTCACAATGTCTTTGCATGCTTTACTATTTTTAGCAATCAGTGGGTTTTAAACTTATTTAACAATTGTCACACAACATACACATATTTATCGATTTTCATGTTGGCTTATTGATTTTCATGTTGGTAAATTCATTTTGAATGGAAACTAACCAAATTTACTAAACTTTTATAGATACAAAAAAAAATTTGGGAATTCATCAACTTCAAAATTGCATAACACCACTTAGAAATTAGTAAGAAACATATATTTTTTTTTAATTTATCTACAAATTTATCTGACTATCTGTATAAATAATTTTTATAGACTTTTTCAAACAAATATTTTTTGTCTATTTCCACCTCTGGGCCCACTGTGCTCTTGCAGTATTCTTGAAGAAATTTTTTTTTTTTTTAATTTTACTAAAGCTGTTGATTTCGTAAAGCTTCTTTAATTAAAGTATCAGTTAGTTTTTGCAGAAGGGGTGCATACTTTCTACATCGAGGGAAATGTTTACATTTTTGCTAGCTTCAATATTTCTCTTTAATTCTACTAAAATTGGATTGATGTTGGGTGCTTTAGGATTGGGTTTGTTTATTTCTACTAAAACTGAATTGATATTGGGTGCTTTTATACCAGGTATAAAAATAATCTTTACCCTCCCACCGATCAGGTTGAAATGGACTTATGCCAGATGCTGAAAAACCACTAAAGATGATAACTGGCAGATTTCTTTTTTTTTATTATAATTGACGTAGTCTTGAAGTAGCTCAGTTTCTCTGCGCAGCAATGCTCAACTTGGTTTGTGTTTTACAGTTTGAAAGAAAAAGTTGGGAAAAAAAAAACTTAAGTACCCTCCTTGACTGTAGCAACTTCATTTGGAGCCTGGACTCCGTCTGGAGCCTTAGGAAAGTAAGTTTCAATAATAAAAAATCTATTGCATTTTAAAATATTTTATACATTATATTAATATATATAAAGTATTGCTATATATATATATATATATATATATATATATATATATATATATATATATATATATATATATTGCTATAAATAAACTTCATAAAAAAAGTTTTTTTTTAAATAAAAAATAATTAAATTAAATTTTTGTGAAAAAGTTACCTGGTCTTTATACACATTTAAGCATGTGCAACTCATCCATATTATTGACAAAAGATTATCAAATAGTAGTGGTAGAAACGGATTTGCTAATTTGTCTAATCTATTTACAACATCTGACAGCATATTTAAAAAACCAGCTTGTCGACGTAAGGGAATAACAGATGAAATATCTAATTCAACACAATTGATAATATCCAACTCTATAAAAAAAAGTAACAGCCATAATCAAAATTTAAAAAACATTTTTAAGTATTGCAACAACTTGAAAAAAATCTCATAACAATTTTTTCAATTTTCATGAAATGTTTTTGAAAGGAGAATCCTTATATTAGGCTGATGATTTTTTGAGGATTAACCCAGTGAACCCGAAAAATTGCATTAGAAATAAAAAAGTGCAAAACCCAAGTATTGATGAAGACATGGTTGACATGAGATCAGAAAAGGCAAAGAAGTACACAATATTCATTTAAAAAAAAGCAACCTAACCCTCAAAAAGTTTAACACACATATCTGACTGCAAAGCTGGTAATGAGCTCTCTTGCCTGCTTTGAACTTCTTTTATATTTAACTATCGATCCGTCAACATTATGCTTAATTTAATTCAACCTAATAATTTTAATATTAAAAGGTTTTACAAAATATAAACCAATCAATAACAAAATGATGAATTTATCAAAGTTTGTAACTGGTAGAAAATTTGATAGTTCACATGGTCTGGAATAATGAGAAATAATAATAATAAAGAAGAACAATAAGGGCAGGTGTGGCACAATCATAAAAACTCCAGTAACTTGGTAATCCATTTTCAGAGAATACATAAAAAGTCACAAAATTTACATGAAAGAAGAGAGAGAAAAAAATGAAGAAAAACAAATTTTGAAACATAAAATTGGTTAAATTTATTTAAATGAAATTTCATTTCTACATCTACCCGAATTATTGTCTTGGTCTTTGTAAATACAGAGACCTAGACAATAAGGGTGATTTGAACACTGAATCGCCACATGGCCAACAGATTCCACTGAATATCAATTGCATCAGAATAGTATACTTGAAATAATTATCAACACAAGCTAACCACTAACCTTTAACCACTGTCATCGCTAGATAAGTCAAAAATAATAAAAACAAAAGTTTAAATTGCTAGGTAATAACTAAATTTGATAAATATTGAATTTTACAAAATATTGTTTTTTAAATTCAATAATTCCTAAATAATTTTATTAATTAAATTAATGTCATAAATTAGCCTATAAGAGTGCAAAGAAATTTCTAATATCCAGACTTGTGATACTATAGGATTAGCCAAATTTAGATTTGATATAGAGTAGTGGATTAGAATATATATTACGCTTTATCCTAAAAGATATGGAGCAGGCCTAAAAGCATATGCCCCTAAAAATTACCCTAGAAACCCATAGTAAAGAAAAAATTTTAAAACATCTCCACTTTTAACAAAGCTGCAAAACCAGATTTGGAAGTTACTGGAAGAGAAAAGATGAAGTTTATGAAGCAAGATAATAGTTAACAGACGACTTAAAAGATTGCAAATTATATGAAACAAAAAACAAAATGAAGGCAGCGTCCAACTATGTTAACAATGCCTTTTTGCATCTTGTTCAAAAGGGAAAAAAGCATCATTAGAAAATCCGCTCCAGATATGACAACAATATTCCATTCAAGGACGGATTTGATATTTATAGAATATTATAGAATAGAATCAGGAGTAAGAAAGTGGCGAGCACAATAAAGATATAAACCATAGCAGAGGTCAATTTTGCAATGGATTTGATATATGGTTTCCAAGAAAGTAAGTATTAATCTTAAAAGACCAATAGTAGATGACTAATCGAATACATTACAATTCATAAATATGACATGACCCGAAATACGGAAAGTGACTAAAAATAATCATGAAGTTATTTCACAGCTATTGTAGATTTTTTTAGGTTAACCAGAAATCACCTAAAATTACTGTAATACATGACAAAATACTGAGTTTAAGGCAATATTGGTATAAATTCCAGAAAATTTACATAAGTAGTAATTACAGAATTAACATTTTATTTCAGTTTTACTTCACACATTTACCTGTAATTATCTCTAATTACAATATGTACTATTAATGTAATGTTATTATTTATGTTAGTGTATACAAATTATTTTTTCAAACTTCTTAGATTCAAAAAAATACAGTCTTACCATATTTAAACTAAGAATATAAAGATGGTAATGAATTGTAAAAAGTTCATTAGTCATTTTCATTAATAAACAAGACAGGATATAATATCTTTAGTTAAAGTTTACTAATAACTTATAAAAACTATACCCTATCACATCATGCATGGAAAAAAGGAAAAATAATGAAAGATAATAAAAAATATTATGAAATAAAAGGGGAAATTATTATAACTGTTGAAAGCAAACTTTATTTTTTTAATATGGATATCAACACAACTTAAATGTAGGAATTGATAAATTCAAATCAAGCGAATGGGTTTAGCTTCAAAATATTTCCGCACTTTTGAAACCTTTCACAGTACAAACAGATATAGTTCAAACCACCCAACCTCTTTCACAGGTTCTTCCAAATACTATCTATACTGAACTTGGAATGCCATCTGACAAAAACATCTGACAAACAAGCCTTTGACAGCAAATTTTTTTTAGATTTTTCAGAAACATAAATTTTAAAGATGTCAATGGTTTCTATCCATACTGCAGCCAGTCTCGGACACTTTTAACCATCTTACATATGCTGCATATTTGTTAGATCCAACTGATGCTGTCATTATCCTCATACAAGAAAAATAAGCATATTTTTCTATGCAACAAAGATGTATATAGTTTTGTGTAACAGAGTTGGAAATACAAGCAGCTGCCAAATCAAATGGATCTGAATATGCTGCCATAAAGTGCATTAAATTCTTGTAAAAAAAATATCTTATCAAAATAAAGAAATTTTACAACCAATATTTATATATAATGAACTTTATAAAGACTATAGCACTGTTGCAATTAAAATTATTTTACTTGTATTAGGACTGAACTAAATTTTTATCTTGTATGAGAACTGAACTAAATTCTTTTTCTATGAGAGTTAAATTTAATTTTTTTTTGTATAAGGACTGAATCAACTTTTTATCTTGTATAAAGAATGAATCATTTTTTTTTTTTTTTATGAGAATGGAATTGAATTTTTATCTTTTATGAGTACTGAGTTAATTTTTTTTTTAAAGTATAAGAGATTTTTAATTTACTCAAAAAACTATGTTTAAACAATAGCACATTTTGTCATTCTTGGCTAATGGTTTAAGCTACTCATAAACTTTGAGCTTTTTGAAATTTCTTTTCTTTTTTTTTTTTACACATCAATAGTTTTTTCTGTCATTTTCCAGTATCAAACTCTTAATTCATCATAATTCATAGAACTTTAAAATTAAAAATCTTGAACTATATAGTTACGTAAACGCATGAAACATCTATACAGTTGCCTAAACACATTGCCATTATTGTCATCTTGATCTATTTAGCTGTGTAAACACATTCCTTAACTTTTTATCAACAAAACAGATTTGTAGTTAATTTTATAAAAAACTATACTAACATAAGCTTTTAAAGAATATATACACTTCAAAAAAATATATATATATACTTCAAATATATATATATATATATATATATATATATATATATATATATATATATATATATATATATATAATATATATATATATATATATATATATATATATATATATATATATATATATATATATACTTTAAAAAAAAATATATATATATATATATATATATATATATATATATATATATATACTTCAAAAATATATATATATATATATATATATATATATACTTCAAAAATGTATATATATATACTTCAAAAATATATAAAACCACCTTGGTATTGTTTAAAGGGCTCCATTATTATATCAATAAAAGTTTGAATTTCACTTTTTGAACAGTTAGATAAAAACTGCATGATAACATTTCTTCTAGCAGATTTAGATTTTCCACTTGCACCAAGGCCAGACTTTCTAAGCAACTTTCCGTAAAGTAGCCTGGAAAAAAAAAATTGTTTTAGATAAAATAAATTTTACATATAACTTAAATGTGATAAGAGTTGAAATACTATACTAAAAATAAAAATGACTACCTAATTAAAATTGGCATAAGGTCTGATCTATGTTCTTCTTTTAACACTTCATTTTCTTTATCAGTTGAAAATAAAAGCAGTTCATCCCTGAAAGTTGCATCATTCATTAGCTTTTTAAAATTTTCAGCATATGGCTTTAGATAGCGAAATTTGTAGGTCATCAAACAATCAATAGTTAAGCTTTGTATTTCATTATCTTTACTAATTAGAAAATCAAGATAAAGTTGATAAATCTTTGGCTCTTTGACTAGACCACGAGGGTGTTTAAACAACTTGAACAGATTAAGGTATGCACACAAAGTTTTAATTTTTGTTTTTCTATCTACTTTATTAGTGTCTTCATTAGAAAGTTTAACTTGAGCTACTTCTTTTAGACAAAGATCTTGTTTTTGTGACAGAATTTCATCACTAGAAGTATACTCTTTTCTAAAAAAGAAAAATACATTTAAAACCTTTAGAAAATACATTTAAAACCAAGTACACACATACAAACACACAAACATGGATATTGATTATAAAATAATTCATATATGAACATACTGTATAAATTCAAAAAAAATTGGAATAACATCTCGTGATTTTCTTTCAACTAATGGTGCAAATTTTGTCATAGCATTTAAAAGCAGGATTCGAAAATTCTTGTAATCAACTCTAACATCCGAACTTTTACTCAATTTAAAGTACTTTTCAAATACAGAATTCAAAGTTATTGAGTTTTGAATAGACGCTGACTCTGTTTAAAAAAGAAATTTAAATTTTTTTTCCGCAAGTAATAAGTAAAACAAATACAGAAAACAAACCCCTTTAATTTAACTGAACACAAAGCATACAGACCATTGTTTTGAGATGATGCCAAAAATATATCTTTCCAAGTATGCCAAAACTCTTCATTACCATTCTCAGCAAATGAAGCAATAATAACAATAAGCTGATCCCATAACACACTTAGGTTTGTAAAAAGATTGCCAATTAGAATTCTAACAATAACATCATGGTGCATGCTGGGCAAACTTGATACACTGGAATACATCATACGTTGAAAATATAAGAGCTTTTCACGATAATTATGAAATGTAGCTTCAATATTTTCAGCATTAATACATACTTCAAAAACATCTAAACTTGTTGAAACCTGCAAATATTTTAAAATCAAAATTATAATAAAATTATTTCACTTTTCTAAAACAAAAAAAATAATTACAAGCTTTTTTCAAAGTGTTTGGTTTAAAAAGAATCAATAGTTCATGTATTATTCATATTAAAGACTGTTTAAGAATTCATAAGGCATTTAATAAGAATAAGCATTTTAGAGTTACAGAGTTGAAGGTTTGGGGCTTAAGTTAGAGGCTCCTAAATGAAAGCCAAAAATCATTTCATTTAAATATTATAAATAAATATTCAACTGTAAAGCAGTGTTACGCTGCAATCATTACTTATAATGATGGTTATGCTGAGTTATCATCTGTATTTGATGCTCTTAATTTTACAAAGTTTTGGAAATGACAACTTATATTAGTACACTTGTTCTCTTTTTTTTTTATTAAAAAAAATTTTTATATACTATCAAAATAAATTAAATAGCCATTTATAAAATTTACTAAAATATTTATATTAAAGTCTTCAAACGTTTAGCTACAATTACCTCTTCTTTATTGGTGTTTCTTTCGCCATAAAGATTACGCAGAATCATAAGAGTAAGTAAACGTAACTTTCGATATGGAGAATTTAAATTTACTTTTATTAAGTTATACAAATTTTCCTTTTGGCAAGTGTCAAAGCTTTTAAAGGAACAGTTTACACTGGAATAATGCTCAAAACAATCAACAACATGGATGTTAGATGGATAAGATCTAAAAATCAGTCACTTATTATTATATATATACACACACAGATATATATATATATATATATATATATATATATATATATATATATATATATATATATATATATATATATATATATATATATATATATATATATATATATATATATATATATATATATATATATATATATATAACCCATATATATATATATATATATATATATATATATATATATATATATATATATATATATATATATATATATATATATATATATATATATATATATATATATATATAACCCATATATATATATATATATATATAATATATATATATATATATATATATATATATATATATAACCCATATATATATATATATATATATATATATATATATATATATATATATATATATATATATATATAACCCATATATATATATAACCCATATATATATATATATATATATATATATATATATATATATATATATATATATATATATATATATATATATATATATATATATATATATATATATATATATATATATAACCCTCGGAATTAGAAAAAATGAGGTCGGCATTTGCCGACCTCAATCTTTTTAAGGTCAGCATCAGGTCGGCAAAAATTATTTGATACAAAGGTCTGACCATAAAACTTAGAAATATATATATATATATATATATATATATATATATATATATATATATATATATATATATATATATATATATAAAATGTATATATGTAAATATATATACATTTATATATACACTTACTAAAGCATATTTTTATAAGCATTTGCTCACTTTTTTTGCTTACCTTTATCCATACGGCTTTTTTAAAAAAAGAAGAAAAAAAACGATGAATGATAAATGAAACGATTGCTGCCCCATCCCGAACCCTCAGTCGATGTAGCAGCACTCCCCTGCGAGTCAGGCTATTTGTCAGGCTATTTCAGTATGACGTCAGATTGCTAACCTTAGTACGCAATACTATTTGTATATATACATATATATATACAGGTTTCGGCAGAAACAACAGACTATAGCTTGTGTCCGCTTCCACACCCATGTATGTAAGTTTACACAGACAAAATAAAACCTGATTGAGTTTTTTGAGTTTATTTTGAATTGAATTGAGTGCTTATATATTTTCTTTTTCGTAAGGAATTATTTTCTTTTTTCTTTAGTTTTTTTTTTAATTTTTTTTCTAGCTTAAGGTTAGCTTAGCATTTTTTTTTTTTCAGCACATTTCTAAAATCATTTCTAAAATATCTAACAGTCGTGGTCATGTTTTCAACAAAAAAAATCATTTGTGTGGTCAGCAATAGCACTCAATTGCACACCATTTCTGCCCAAGCCTGGAACCTTACTAAAGTAACTCTATTTGATGATGACTCAACTCTCAACTTTATACTTCTGTCTGGACAAAAAGTCTTTTCTTTTTGAACGCTTAGCACAGGCAGCTTATTCAGTTATTTACTGCAAACAACTACCACAATACTGTCAACATCATTATATTAACAAATGGAGTTCTGAAGTCAATTACAATTAAAAATAAGATCTACAAAAAGTATATAAAATCTAAAAATCTTAACACAAAAAGTCAACTATTCAATAAATTCAAAGTGTATAAGTAATAAAATGAGCAACTTATTAAGAATTTCTAAAAGTCATACTACATCTCCTTCTTTAACAAAAACCTCAACAATACAAAAAATACATGGAAATTAATAAAAGAAAATAATTAACATCACGCCAATTAAATCTTAGATTCTAATTTACAAACTTTACACAGTATGGCCACATACTTTCTGAGACTTGCAAAGTTAAGATCCAAAACTCATGCATTTATTAAAATAACTGAAACTATTAGAAAAGCTTTTAACAATACAATTTTAGCATGTGGAGTGTTTCTTGACTTAAAGAAGGCTTTTGATTTGGTTGATCACTTTATCTTCCTAAGTTATCTTCCTAATTGGAACACTATGATGTTCAAGGTATTGCTCTCCAATGGTTTTCATCATATCTTCTTAATAGATCATGATTTGTCTCCATCAATGATGCTAAATTTTTGCCAATAAAACGCTCCACAGGTGCACCTTAAGGTTATGTACAAGGACCATTGCTTTTTTTTTCTTATTTTTATAAATGATTTTAATCTCTCTAAAATTATCAATGGTTTACTGACATTTAGCTGACAACACCAACTTACTGACCATTTTGCTGACAACACCAACTTACACATAACAAAACATTTCATTAAAAAAATTAACAAACATAATGATCATGATTTATCTATTTCACTGACTGTAACAAACTAAGTCTTAACAACAAAAATGAAACATTAAAACTCATTATTTTCAAATTAAGTCAATCTAAAATATATAAAAACCTAAACTTAGACTTAAATGGCCAAAACATTTTCCTATAGTTCCATTAGAACATCTTGGAACTAAAATTAACTCAAATCTATCCTTTCCTCTAATCTTAAAAACTTATTAGTGAAATTGTGTAGATTAAATGGGATGCTAGCGGAAATTCATCACATGTCAATTATGAAACTTTACTCAATATATACCATACAATTTTTGGATCACATCTCAGATATGCTTGTCAGATTTTGGAACAAAGCAAGTCTCATCCTTTTTTTAAGCTATCTAATCTAAAAAACAAAGCTTTAAACATAATATACTTTCAACAATATCATTCTGACATCCTTTACACTGTATCAAAAATACGTGAATTGTGTTATCTTGTTTATCCATTGTCTATTTGTCTGGAATCATTCTTCAATTTTCACCACTACAAAAGATTATTATCTTCAATCTTTTAGTAAACTCCAAATTTTTGTTTGGTGAAATACTTTAACTCTATCACAATATGATATTATCACGAACCAATGCATAAAACCATGGGATAATTTACCTCTACATTTCCAATCACTCAATTCTATTTCGAAATTTCAAAACTGCCTTTTTGAATATTTGTCAGAAAATTACTGTATGTAAATTATTAGGATCATCAAAGATTATTATTGCTATTGCTATTTTTATTAGTATTATTATATGTGATGTAATACTATTTACATTTTTATTACTGTCATTATTGCTTATTAATATTTTTTAGCATTTATCTGCAATACTTAATATATTGTTATTATTATTAATATATATTGCTATTATTATTATTGTTGTTGTTGTTGTTTTTATTATTACTAATATAATCATTATTATTGTTATTACTATATACATATAAGTTTTAAACACAAGGTCATCAGTAATGAAATTCGTATTCAAAGTACACAGTTTAGAAATCTATGAACAAGTGCAACGTATAAACTGTCAACAGATGGTTGTTTTTATTATGAAGATCAGAATGTTTCAAAAACATGGTTGTAACTGAAAAAGAGTTTTTACAAGTTGAATTTTTACAATAAATGAATGAATTCGAAGGCAATGCAGAGAAATTTTATTCTTCACTTCAACAAAAGTTAACAACTAAGCTAGTTGCGATACAAGCAATATCTAAAGAACTATATTATTTATTATTAGAATTAACAACATTATGTCTAAATTTTCTAACAACAAAAGAATCTAAGTTTAATACTGAAGAATCAAATTCAAATGTGGAAATTAATCTCTCTGAAAAAGACATAAGATGCTTAGAATATATTGCAGGTTATGTATTCCAAAAACTGTAACTGTCTAAGTTAAGAAGTAAAAAAGTTAATGATGGTGTAATATCTGAACAATGGCCTAATATTTTATTTTCTTCAAAGACTCAAGAGGAACAAAAACTTGTAGATATTAGGGATAGAGGTGGACTGTGGAAAATGAATAAACTAGTAATAAATATATTTAGTGAATGTGAAAAAAAGTTTTGAGTACATGTTAGCATCAATTTTCAAAAAATTGACAGTAAATTATTGGTTTCACAATTACAAAATGGCTGATTTATCAAGTCCTGTTTTAATCAGATTTGTGATCTTTCTGAAGCATAAAATAAAAAAGAAATTGCTAAAATTTTATTGTATCACATAGTGATGCTTTTTATTCACATACAAAACAAATAAAAGAAAATTTTAAAAACAAAACAAAAAAAACAAAACAAAAATAACAAAAGCAGAATCTTTATGGTCATCTTTGAAAAAAGTCAAATAAGATTAAATAAAGATGTTTCAGTCAAACAATCATATTTCCTCTAATCAGTGCAATATTATCAATCTATGCAGATGTAAAGAAAAACCCTAGTTATCATTTGAAAACTTTGGCATATAAAATTCGCCGAATGGTCACACACAAGCAGTGAACGCCTGAGGGAAGAAATGAAGTACATTAGAATAAAGGAGAATTATTTATTAGACAAAGCATATTTTGACAGTTGTCAAGACAAAAATAAAGATTAATAGAGGAATATTTAAAAATAAATAAGACAGGCTATACACCTACAACAATAATAACAATAAAAATAAATTTGAAAAAAATTGTTTTCTAAACACCAATATGAACGAAGATATACATCACCAGACAAAAACCTATAAAACAAAAGACCGATCACAAAATAAAAAATATGATAACAACAATGAAAGGCATTTAATAATGGAAAAAAAACATTAATGCTAATGTGTAAACATAATTTGTGTAGTGATTAAGTAATAAACATCTCCTCAGAGTCGCGTCTATTATTACTGGCGTTTTAATGAGGATCAGCATTTATAACTAGTTTATCCCGTCAGACAAACGTCATCGCCACTTATGCTTTACCCCGCGACGATAAAACAAAATTTTAGTAACTAATTGTTTTTTATTATAAATATGTATTTTTTATAATAAATAAAAAATAATTGCATAATTATTTGGAAAAAATATTGCTGAAGTAATGCGATTGTTTTTAAAAATTTTAAGCAAACATCAAAGTTTGCACAAAAATATAAAAATGTGACGTTCATTTTGTCAAACATGTTTGTTACATTAATATTACAAGAATATATACATAACAAGTGTCATTT